CTTTCTGAACATGCACACAGCTGGTAAGTTTGCATAATGGTCATTCTAATTGAAAGAAATAACTTCATCAACATACCCAAGGTCCAAATATTGTAAAATATTGATGTATTAATTTTACAGTTTTATGGAAAAGGATAAAGAGATTTAACCAATACTAAGGGTACACTCTTCAGTACAATAAAGTTCCACTAGATGGAAACACTTCAGCTGCCATAATAGAAGGAATAAGTGGAAGTACAACAGTTTAAAACACATGCCATGGAAAGGCATCAATGCTGGAAGAATTTTGAGGGAAATTATTTTTATTTTGCCCTGTCAGAGTCTGTGGGTATTGATGATTCCGAGATTGTAAAAGTCTCTGTCTTTCTGCCCCGTTGCCAAAGAAGAAGCCATAATTTGTCTGTGCTGGTTTCAAGGTTGTTTATTCTTGCTTATCTCTAACATGTTCTGCTGCCCTGACGCAGGTCTGTCCTGCAGGGCAGCGTGTGGGGCTCTGCCCCTCAGGGGGATGTTACAAACATTATATACCAGAAACTACGTGTGCTATATTTACAATAATGTGCCAATATCTATCATCTACGTTGAACAGTGTGTTCCCAGCCTAAACCAATAGAAAAATGCCAACACTACAGTGAAACATGGAGGGCATGAAGAAGGAGGAAAAGGACAAGACACACCCAATTGCTCCATCTTGCCCCCTCTGAACCCCTAATCTAGAAACCTAAAATTTTACTCTTGCACCCCTGCCATACTTAATTATTACTGATATCAAACACTCAGAGCTTGTAATTCATCCTGTAAGATTGAAAACTCTTTTCCATGGACAGAGATCAGAGACAGTGTCTCTCGGGGCTCTGTACAGGGGGGTTCCTGACCCCCTGCCACGGTCCCAGGCAATCCAGGGCAGCCAGAGGGAAGCTCTGGATTCCAACATTGCCCAGATTCAGCTTTCAACTAAAAAATTAAAAATCACAGAAATAGATACTTTTACTATGAGCCATATGAGCCGTCTAATAAAACACAATGTCAAGCAGCTGTGCTGGAGTCCTTGGGTTTATATGTATGCTGTGTGCTATATATTGCAGCTTTGGAATTCTTCTGGAAGCCCTGCACAACAAAATTTTTCTCTAAATCCCATTTATATTTAGTCATTATCTCAAAAAAAATCTTTCCAAAGTACATGGATAGCTTCTCTGCTTTAAGGACTTTCCCCTTCAGCCCAAGCTTTTATGTAGCTTTCAGATATGTTAGATATTACAAAGGTGGTCACAGGTTGATTTTTCTTGACTTTCCTTGACTTTTCTTGTTCTGAAATAGAAATGTAAGTGACTAACTTAATAAAAATGATCAGTGGCTATCTTCATAATGTTTCCATCTTACAAACTTCATGTAACATTTCACAGGATTATTAGTTAATTAGTTAATTAGTTAACCTATAATTTTGATCTCTGCTATCTTGTATTCATGGGTTCATCCTTGTTCCAAATGGAATTCCCCCACAAGTGATGATCCCTCAGTGCCTGACTGACAAAGTGGATAACATCAGAAAGATAAATAAAATATAGAAGTCAGCCTTCAGAACCTTTTTAACTTAGAGATGTGAGTTTTTAAAATATTATCAATGAATCTTCATGTAGATTCCTAGAAGAACATTGTTGATGAGGTGGCATTTTAAAAAGAGGTATTTTTATTTGAAAATATTTTTCCAAGAAAAATCTGTTCCTCAGCATTTTGATTTCTATAGGTGTGTTCTGTGAGTACCTTAAGACTAAAAATGCTGGATTTAACTAGAAAAAGGAAAAGCAAGAGAAAAGTGATAAAAATGAATCTGTAGAATCAAGAAATATGATGAGAGGCTGCCTACAGTGGCTGTTGGAGTAGAAGGAAATCTCTGTGTTTGTACCAGTAGCCTGTGCTACTACACCTAGATGTTTTAAGTGTGAATGAAATGAGAAGGGATTGATGCCACAGCCAGGCAGCTGTGGAAATACCCACCTCTTTACATACCTTTAAATGCCTTTGAAATTTTGGCAGTTTCACTGTGAGACTGACAACACTAATAAATTTGATAGTGCATAAAGCAAACAAAAAGGGAAAATTTTCTTAACTTGAAAACTTACTGAATGCTGGTTTTTATTAATGATACAAAGGAGCTTGCTTAAAGGTAGGTTCCTTGTGAAGTTTTTCGAATGCTTTAATTTCTTTCTTATGAACACTGCCTTAGAATTTCAAGGAATAATTACATCTAATAGAACTTTAGCTCCTTCCAGTGATACAATGAATTCAGAGATAAGCCAACTATATGCCAGCTTTCCAGATATATCCTTCTATTTAGTTGTGTAGGTTCAAACATGGCATACTTTTTGAAGCATGATTTTGAAACAGTCTTGACATAGATTAGCTGGTAAGGCTTCCAGAACATGCAAAATTGTTGTGAACACTGTCATTTCAGAGCAGATTTGTATTTGTGCTTAAGCATTGCATATATTGGTTTTTGACAGAAATTGCTAAATTTCTACTTGAAAAAAGTGATTGACTGTTCCTGTCATGTTGAACTCCACCAAATCATGTTGTGAAATCTTAACAAACCGAATTTTACCACGTTTGTTCTTTTTCATTACTTTGAAAAATGTCCCTGCATGTTCTGATGGGAAAACAGGAACACGCATGGAAACCTATATTTATGAATGGGAGTTTATTAAATGAGAGTGTTCACGTTCCTGATGAGGAGAAAGCTTTGCTGTCCATTGTGTTTCCTCCCTCTGCCAGCCCTCTGCCCCTCCTCCTCCCTGCCCCCAGGGCAGGCTCCAGGTGAGCCCCAGCCCAGCCCGGGCTGGCTCTGGGCGCTGCTGCAGAAAGAGGTGGGGCTGCACAGCTCCTCCACCCTTCCCGACCCGAGTCCGGCTGCTGCTGCTGCTGCTTTGCCGCTGGCAGAGGCGTCCCTGTGCACTGTAACCTCGGCATCCTCGCAGCATCCAGCAGCTGCCAGGCACTCGCAGCCCTCTCATGAATATCTTTCTTTCTCTCCAAGTGGCTGACTTCTGTTTTTCAAGGTTATTGTTTTCCATCTCTTCGCTTAAATACTGTAAGTACAACTTCTGCAGTGGCTCTTTAGTTACTGCTTTGTGAAATTCCTCTCTCTTGTACTGAATAGTGGGAGGTACTAGTTCAAAGTCTCTGAGGTTTGTTGTGGTGTACGCTGTACGCTCCTGTTTGTGCTGTTCAAATGGGCCCTTAGCATTTTAGATTTTAGCTGGATTAAAACATGAAATCAGAACAACTCAAAACGTTGGTGGTTTCCTGGCTGCCGTTTTCCTGCTTTGTAGGAAATTGCCAATGTCTCCTTCCTCTGAATGCTGGTGCCTAGTGAAGTGGAAGTGAGAAGAGAAGCATTTCCATCCCTACTTGTTGGCTGGAACCAGTTTTCTAGGAACCCAAAGAAGATAAACTAATGCATGTTGATAAGCTTTCAGAATGCTGAGGCAGGTAATCCTGCTGCCTGCTGAGATGCAGCTGGCCCAGGGTTTTAGGAGGGAGCTAGGTTGGAGGGTACCTGTCTGGCTCAGTTCCTTGGGTTCTGAAGCTGAAGTAAAGGAATACAGGACAAGGGACCTCAGGTTGCTGCAGCAGTGTGATTACACATTCAACCTAAAAATCATCCCAGGACCCTGAGGCCACAGCAAAAAGGCTTATTTCAAGCTGTCCTGGTTCCTGACCCAGTTTGGTGTGACTGTGAACACCATGGTGTCACACCAACTCTGTATTTTTACAGACATTCCACATAAATGTTATATGATCTATGGATTATTCTCTCTTTAATTGCATCACTGGGAGTTGCAGAAAGGATGTCAGTGTGTTAGCACTTCGGAGATATAACAGACTAACTTTTAATATTGACAGTGCCCAGAGATATTTTGAGTAGAAGAGTGCACTTGGAATACCGGCCAAATTCCCAGCAAAAGTTTCACAGCTGCCCAAAATATTGTCTTTTTTTTCTGTACAAAACCTCACATCATTTTTGTTATTTTACACTCTGAATTGGAAACTATGGGAATAAGCATGGCACCAACTACTTAAAATGGAATTGATTTAGGATACCAAATTAAGGGTCACTGTCTGAAAGTTTTAACTGTCTTCTTTTTCTTCAGACTTCTTCCTATGTTTGTCTTTTTTGGTTTCTGATTGGTTTCCTCTTTATGTTTATTCTCCTCTTCCACTGCACTTTATCTTGATAGAAAGGGGTGATAAAAAAAATTATCAGGTGTTTTATACACATCATAGGAAGACTGCATTTTTCCCAGGGGGAATCTCTGTAAAGAACACATATTCTGTAGCATTTGAAGTTCTCATTATACCTCCTGTTTTATTGCTCTTTCCATCTCCAATTCTCCAGATACTTTCTCTGTTTTGCATATATACTAGAAATAATAATGCCAAAATCTTACTTAATTTTCTAATATAAGCCAGAAAGGAATTTTCACTTCTAGTCTTGTGAGCAACAGCTGCTGAATGAGTTCGTAACATTCACTCACCCAATACATTGTACAGTCTGATTTCCCATTCCTTTATTAACATCTTTCTGAGTCAGCCTTTCCATGAAAGACTGGCTGTTTATAATTGTTACTTGTTTGCAGTAACTTAAAATAGCATACCACTAGGACTCTTTAAGCATCTGCTATTAACCTGATTTTACTGACAATCCAAGCACAGGAGGTTACGGGAAGAAGTGCTGGTTTCAAGGAACAGTTCTGACATTGGCTATGGTCATGTTAAACTTTTTGCTTTGGGTTTTCATATTCTAAATGGCATTAACAATTTCTAGGTGCAAACCTAGATTCCAGCATTCAGGTTCACTGACTGGTACTTATTCCATTATTTTTGGAAAAAAAAGTATTATTCTGACTAGATGTATAAATTATCTCTTGGGCTACCCATGAGAGTTATGTGACAATGAACTATATAACATTAGAATCAATGTGATTTTATACACTTCTTTTCAGGTATCTTCTTGAAGTATGGAATTTGTATGGAAACAATGGTGGTATCTTCAGTTGGGCTGTATGTTGATAGTGCATTTGGTTTATGCCAATCTAGAGTATCAAAAAGAAACTCCTCCAAGCCTGCGTGAGATTGACCATCAGTGCTGGGAGGTATCGTCCCATGGGCTGATGGAAATGAAGAAACTCAAGGTAGCAGATACAGTCATTGCTCTCTGGGACTTCATGATGTTCCTAAAGGAATCCCCTAAGCCCAAGCACAATGAACTCTTCAATGACTTAGCCCAGAACTTCTGGGATATGTATGTAGACTGTGTGCTCTCAAGATCCCATGGAATCGGCAGAAGACAATTAACATCTCCCAAATATTCTTCCACATACTCATACAGAACTTTAGAAGGTAACTATAGTTATAAGATATGGTACTAAAATTAACTGAACCAATGCTCCATCTTCACCCTTCATTGTTTAGACAACTCGATATACTAATTTCCAATTTTCTGACTCTATTTGTCAAAAGTGTTTGCATCTTTCAATGGTAGCTACTTTCACAATACACAAACCACTGGTAGTTAGACTACTACATTTCTATATTTAACAAAGTGTAAAAAATACTGAGTATGCATGTGGAAGTGTGTGGAAATGGATGCTGCATTCTCTGTTTATCACTGTGTACATATAAATGACAATCCATTGATAAGTAATTATAATACTGAAAGTTTCCTGATATTAGGAGCTCAGTCACAGCTTGTGGGAATCATTGTTCTGCAGAAGGGAACCTCAAATCCCTGACAGTTTGAGCCCTATTCTTCCTAGTGAAACTACTGACATATAATGTGATGTCATGGTCATTTTGAATCACTGAACAGTGACAGGCTCTGGTCATCATGATCAAATTTGAGTCTGAACTGAGATCATGTAGGTGACTTTAATCTTACTAATCAATCCTAGATCTGTTGCCCCCGTTCCTCCTTAGCAATAGGCTTTTTTCTGATGTATGTGTCAGATGATTCAGGTTCTTGGAATGAACATGAATATTATTTAATCATAGCGTTTCTAATACATTGCTTCGACAATAACTACCTGTCTTTCATAATCTTGCAGGGTCTTCTTTCATCAACCCATTTTAGACCAAAAGGGGAGAAAATGAAGATACTTAAGGCAACATCAAAATGAAGGAGCACAAAATCACAATATGTATTGTAGATGTTTGGACAAATCCTTTGGGATGGTTCAATCCTTTTTATTTCCTTTTCTTTTTGTATAAAGTACTTAATAACTCCTAAACTGATAAGTACATGAACCCCGACACTGTCACTTTTGCTTTTCTGTCTTGCAGTCTACTAAGCTTGCCTTTTCCTCACTCCATGTGTGAATGTGTTCTGAGTCAACACCTTTGTTTTCCCACATAAACTTTAAAGTCTGGCTGTATCACATTTTTGTAGAGTCTTATCTTTTCCAATAATTATCTTTTAAAAAGTTAATTTTTCATGGAAACCCAATATATTTTTATACATTATGCAACAAAGACAAGGTAAACAAATTTATTTTATATATTGTTTTGCACATCCTATTAATCAAAAAAAAAAAAAAAAGAAAGGGGTGAGACATTAAGCTAAAGGGAAGGATTATGCTCATTGTAATGTCCTGTGCAGTCTAGACTTTGTATTTTATCATTGCTTAGTCTGAGCTATGGATTAATTAAAGTATTTTTCTAAGCAGCAAGGTCTGAAGAGCAGTAGTTTTCTTATCTATTAACATGTTATTTGATAAGCCACTACTACGTGACATGCTTGACACAAGGCTGCAGGTAAGGTGATGCAGTCCATCCCCGTCATTGCAGGCAACATCACAGCTGAGATGGGACCTGTGCACCAAGTGGTTCAAAAGAGGGACAGGCTGACTCGACTGCTCCTCTCAGTATAAACCATTGAGCATGGATAAAATAATTCAAGGAAGTTAACTGCCTACTTAATCCAATTCTTCTGAGCATAAAAAAACCTGAGAAATGCTGACTGTTCTCTGCTTTACTCCTCGGGCCATGCAGCTTGTTCAGTCCCTGTTGTGTTTTATCCTTTTATGAGATTACAGGTGGTTTTAATTATTTTAGGAAATAGTACTCATGCTGTAACAGCATATAAACCTTCATAAGGAACAAGAAATCCATCCCACATAATTCCTAGCCCATGTGTAGTTTGTAAACTATCCAACAAGTCTCATAGATTTGTAAATGTTCATTTAGGTAAACACAATACTGAACTGCATCTTCCAAAATATATCTCCTACAGTATTCTGGAGAGGGTACAAAAGTAGTGAGAGAGTTTTCTGACCCAGGAACATCACTTTAAGTTCCTGACAGAAATAACATTTTTGAGCAAACAGAGTTATTACATACCCAAACAAACTGACTTCAGGAATCGATACATTATGATAAGCAGCAGTTTGAGAGCCATTATCTAACCTGCCCCAGCAATATCTAGTTTATAAAATTGTGTACTGCATTGCATTTGCAATAGAAGTCTTAATTGGCATAAATAATATTAAAAAAAAAGCCCCTTGTTCACCTACATTGATCACCTACAGAAGTATTTAAGTATAATAACATTTTAAAATAATTGTTTCCTCTATTAGTGTAGTGGTCTTTTAATTGAATGCCAGAGCAAGGTATCCTATGCAGTTTTAAAGGCTTCATTCTTCAGGCAGTAAGTCTGTTTTAATTAGTTTTCTGTAAGACACAAAAGTGCTTAGCATCCACCAGAATTGTTTCCAGATTGTTTGAACAATCAAATGCTATGGTCACCCTGTGGTGTCTGCCAACAGGGCAGGTGATTATGAGCCCCAGGTACACAGCAGCAGTGGCAAAGCAAATTCCAGGTGAAAATGCTATGGTGTACATCTATGAGAGCTCTGGAAAGCTGACTACTCATGAGATGTCAGCATGAGGGACTAACAGTGAATGGGATTATTTTTTCTTCCACCGCTACCCCCTATTTTTCCATCCCTGGGTTACAGCAGGGACAGCAAGCCCAGCTTCTTGGGCGTTGTATGTTGCCCCCTGCAACAGCCAAACTATGGTCCGTGGCTGTCTGGCAAAATCAAATGCTGTTTGTGCTGCTATGAGCCTTGTGTTCGTACTGATTTATGAAGGATAAATATAAGTATTTGGGGAAATTCTGTCCCCTTCATTCTGCAGTCATTATTAACATTAACGCCTTAATTAACAAGAGCATTTGCATTTGCAACTGCTCATTTTCAGCCAGAGTGTCTGTAGCAGAAACAATACAGTTGTGGGAGAATGTCATGAGGCTCACTTTGTGACTGATTTAAAGTTTTTGCATAAGCAAAACTGATTTCCAGTTAATGGTTCTTGTTCCATACCCTGGTGCCAGTGTATTGCTGTGGCTTTTGCTCAGAAATTGGAAGGACTTACATAAGTCCTCTACATTTTTTTTAATGGGCTTTGCCTTGCTGCCACTAGTAATGAGTCACCTACACATTCACATATGTGTATGTAAAAAAGCATGTAAAAAACCCTCCAAACGACACAGTTTTTGGTCTCCTAGTAAAATACGTATAGTTTGGTTTTAATTGTAAAAAGACAACAGACCATACATTCTCTCAACCAGTAGTAAAGCAGCAAGGCTGCTGCAGAGCTGTCAGAGAAATATAAACATAAAAAACTGAGCAAGACTACTTGACACAGAGGACTTCAGAGAATCTTTATACACCTTGGCTAACCTTTCTTGTGGGCAGGCAAGAAATACAAATAGGCTAGTTCAATAAAACAAAGTTTATACTGATAGTCTTGGGAAAATATCACAATGAAATTAGATTATAGTTAAAAATTATCAGTCAGCAAAAGGTCACCATAAAAAGTTAAATTAAATTAGAACAACTCAATTTAATTTCTCTATCTTTAAGTACTAGATGACTTTCCTATTCTACAATGTGATGACTTTCTTACTCAACAAGGGCGTAACAGACCTGCCCATAAGAAAAATCCTTCTGATTTTTGGAAAACACATATATAGAGATATTTCTAAACTTCAAATACCATTTTTCATATGTATGTTTTATTTTATTTTGTTATTTTCTTAGGGTTCTTCTTTTTATAGAATCTAGGTAGTCAATTTTGAAACAAAACTATTTGCCTTCATTTTTAATGCCACCACTTCTATGTTTGTCTTGTTATGTAACAAACATTTTGACGATACACTTATACACACACCTATCCCATCCCTCTTTCATGAAGTAAAAAAAGTGAGCTGGAGTAAGTTTAGCTCAAATTTATTTCCTTTTTTTCAAGCTGGCCATTAAAAAAGCAAAAGTTTGTGCTTTTCTCAAGATGTTGCTGGCAGGCAAAAAGACAGGCTAAGTGCCAATCTATATGTCACAGCATAAAAGCTTGCAATGTCACAGAAATTCATGCCATAGCACTAGAGAGCAAGTGGTTGTAAAATGAAGAGCCTCAGGGAGTCTTGCACTATTGTAGCAGTGAATTCTGGCATTGACCAAATTAAAAAAGAAAATAGCTCAGAAGTTGAGTCATCTACACAAAAGGTCTGCTACTCACCAGTTCATGTAGGCATTCTGGAGGTGCCAAGGAGGAAGAAGATGAGTTCCTTTTGGAGACAGTGGGAATAAGAGCCCAACAATTATTAGATTAGTAAGATCAGTTAAAGAGCTGTGAGCAACCCAAATGGAGAAGGACGGTCCAGAAGGCCTCTCCAACGGGCTGGGCAAAACTGGTGGCACAAACAAGCTCCTTAATGAGTGTTTAGATGAAAACTGGGATTCAAAAGTCCTGATGCTAAAAAGTGGCAATTCAAGAAACAAAATGGGCTTGGACAAAAGTTATGTGGGTATGGTATTCAGGAAAATGAAGACTCAAATGTGTTTATGTGAAGACTTATCTCCCTGTTCAATGAGATGCCTAAACTGCAATGTATGGGAAGTGTCAGGAAGAGATGGAAATGAAAACAGCGGACCTGCTGACAGTGGATATTAGCACGCAAAGTCACTAGACTAACATACCTTTGTCCCATACTGTACAGGGGACTTTATTAATAAAACATCCCCACATTATATTAATTAAGGGAAGATATAATATTACTCTTTTGATATTCTAAGAATTTTTCAAGCAATTAAAAACATATTTTATCTTGTATCTACATATAGGAAACTACATATTAATATATTACTCTTTGGAACAACATCTATTCTACAGGTACTGATTTTTTCTTGACTGAGTCCAGTGTTTTATCTCTTTTGATAATTTCTTAAGGCTCCTTTACAAACAGAGGACTTTCTAGGAGCATGGTCTGTATCAGCCAGCAGCTCTCGCTGATGAGGCATACTTTCCACAGTAACAAAGCGACCAGGTCCGATCTGAAATACAAAATAAATACATTGCTTGACTTTCACCCTAGCATTTAAAATGACAGGAGAGTTAAATCATGAAAATAGTATTCAGTTGGTGGAGATGGCTGTTGAGGTTTCTGAGGGCCACTAAAACTATCCTTTATACTAAATTCACAATTTGTTCCCATCAATACAAAAGAAAGGAGAGAGTGTTTTTTCAGCGGGTAGTTTTACATGCTCTGCTTTTTTGCCTTCATGTCTGATTTATGAATTGCAAAAAAGAAATTCACGACTTTATCCAATAGAAGTTTGCTGTCCAATGTTATTTGGATTTGTATAGGATGTCAGCCACACTCTGTGACCTCAGGATTTCACTATACAATAAGTAATTATTACTCCAAATAAGAAAAAAAAACAAAAAACAAAACAAAACAAAACAAACAAACAAACAAAACCAAAACACCAAAAAAACCCCAACAGGCATTCTTTCTCTCAAATTGCAATTGCATAGAACTACTACTCCAGGAAATCTCCAAGACTGAAAGACACACACCCTTTCCAGATTCATTGCTACTCTTTATACTGGATAAGTTGGGGTCTTGGAATGTTTACATCCCTGAGTGACAGCTCTGTCTTCTAATCATGACCTACTAAAAAAAAAAAATGCAACTCCTTGAGTGCATGTGGCTCACTTGATCTTGACTGGTTTGCAACAACCATCTTAGCTTAATCTTCATCTCTCCCTGCTGAGGGTGTTTGGCAGAGAGAAGGGGAAAAGATTGTTCCATTAAAAAATTTTCCAGCCATGTCTGTAATTTGTAATTCTCCTAAGCAATGTACCTGAGGAGTGTTATATGATGTTGCTGATACATTTGTTTTCTCAATACACCTATTCTGCAAAATGGACTAACCTTTTCCTTGTTTTTATCTACAGTTATTGAAATATTGATTGTAGAACCATGAAGGTATTTTGTTAAATCCTCTCCCTCTAAGATATGAACATACTTAGCTTGAGGTTCATGCCTTTAAAATAAAATCTGACAATATATTTTTCTCCACTAACGATTTCCATATTACTCATGCTTATAGCAAAATTTTTCGGATACTTTCTGCAAAATATTGCTTTTTAACAGTCTCACTATTGTTTATGCAAGTACCTAAATAATTGTTCCAGCCCACTTCATCTTGCATCTTGCATTCTCAGACGTGTCCCTCCATACCTTTCTGAAGTTTAAGATAATATGGGAAAAATCCTAGTCCAGCACTCTAAAATAATCCCCTTGTTTCCTATTAGGCTCCTTGCTTCTCCATCACATCAAACATGAACTTCCTCTTTTCTTTTTCAAGTTGCATCCACCTTGGTTGTCATTATTATTCATGCCAGAGAGCCCAAAATAGAATCTCTTGCCTTCATACAAGTTTGAAAACAGCACCTCATGTTTACTGCTTTTAGTTTTTCCTCACATGTAAGAGTAACGTATAGGCAACAAAGCAGCTATCCCCCTTAAATCCTCCTTAGCTGTGATGCTTGCACAGAAATAGTCCAGTTAGCTCAAAAACAGTTTATTGGATAGACTGAGGATTCCCCTGTTTTGTCAAAACTCAACACCTAAATATGCTGTTAGGTGTGAATTAGATCTTAACAAAGGCCTTTTATTTTCTCACACTTCATTTAACTGATAGAAATGAGACACGTGGCATATCTGCAGGCAGACAAGGGACATGCTACTCGTAAAGGACACCTCTATGGATGTATCAAAGATTGCACAGCTGTACTCAACAGTGAAAGGAGCAGGTCTTGACCTCAGCAAGGTTTTCATGAATGGCTGTCTCATGACAGGTACATGTTACATAGCATAGGGCCCACCCTACCCACACTTTTTCAGAGTCATCTGCAGATCTGAATCTCATTCTGGCCAAGTGCCAGACTAAGGCTATGTCTGAACAGGAAGTGGAGATTTGCAGAAGATACAGATTCTTTCCTATGCACTTGGAGCTTGTCAACATAAACATTATTAAAGAAAGCATAAGCACCAGCATGTGTACAGCCAGAACAAACCCCATACCACTTACCAATTAATAAAAATAAAAGTGTTATTAAGGATTACTTACTGTTGTATGAAGTTTTGGAATATGAATAGAATGTTCTGGTCCATTTTTAATATTTAGCTTAGGTGTGGAAGCCTCTATTAATGTTTCCTGGAGCATTTTTGCTTTCTAAAGATAATCAGAGAAAGGTAAAATTGTTTCAATCTGCATTAATCGTGTCATTTGCACTCATTTGAAAATATAAAAACAACATGATAAAGTAAATGAAGTTGTAATTCTATTTGCCTTTAATTCTAAGTATCCTCCCCCTGTTTTTTGACTCTTTCATGTACTGAACACCTAAAACCAGAATAAATGGGCGTGGCACTGCAAGGGTGGGAAGGGACCTGCGGGCTGTGTTCTGTGCGAGGCAGCCCTTGGTGCTGTGAGCCTTCATGGCCACAAGAGCACACTGCTGCCTCACGGTCAGCTTTAACCCCAGCCAGCACACAGCCTCCTCTCCAGGCAGACACAGCTGTACTGAGGCATCTCAACACAATCTCAATACATCCCAGGTGAATGACTTCACATTTTCTTTTTCTGAAATTTATGAGCTTTTGGTCAGCTCATCTGTCAAGCTTCTGACTAGTAACCCTACCTCCCAGCATATGGATTGCTTCCTCCAGCTCAGTGCCACAGAACTGCACAGTCACAGGATGATTTGGATTGGAAGGGACCTTAAAGTTTATCTGGCTCCAACTCCCATGCCATGGGCAGGGACACCAGACCAGGTTGCTCAGAGGCCCATCCAGCCTGGCTTTAAACATTTCCAGGGATGGGGCATTCACATGTTGAACTTGATGAGGATGGATACTGATTCAATATCCAAATCACTAATGAAATTAAATCAATACTATATTATCAACCCTATAATTAACTCTGAGGAATACTGACCACTAGTTAAAATTCAATCACTGACCCCTGTCCTTTAGAGCCCATCAGTCCAGCCAGTTTTTCCCACAACCTGCAGTCGACCTGTATGTAATCTAGTCCATGCATCCCCATTTTCACTACAAGAATGCTACACAGGACCACGCTGAAAACCTTGCTAAAACCAAGGGAATAGGCATCCCCCTTCCTCTTCTTCCAGAACAAATAATTTTATCACAGAAGACAACTATGCTGGTAAGGCATGATTTATCCTTGGTAAATTCATGACAGTCTATACCAATCTCCTTCCTTCTCATGTGCTGAAAATGGCTTCCCAGTGACTCAGTTTAAACTAACAAGTCTGTAGTTCTTCCATCCCTTTGAAATTTCTAATTCTAGCATACATCTTTCCACAGGCCAGGGAGATGCTGGCATAGAAAGAAAATTGTTCTCATCTGCAAGTCCTTTGGGAAATGCAGAAAAATTAAATTTAGCTTCCAAAGTTTTAAAGTCTGATTTCATTCATTTCCCAACTTAGTCTGGTTACCAAACCAGGACTCTAGTATTTCTAGGTTGTTTAGGGAAAGTACAAATATTGATAGAAGACACTCCTTTCATTATAAAATATTTCTCATCTTGAAAGATGTTTGCTGTACTAAAAAAGAGAATGAAGAATTAGAAAAAACAATGAAAAGAACAAACAGACTTGTAGTTTCAACAGTTTTAGAAGAAATACACATATATACATCCACTCCTCAATTGCAATTGATCCCCAACTTGTGATTGTAGTCAGAAGAATCAAAATTGTATAACTTTTCCAATACATCTTATGGTTACTTCTTCTATGTCTGTGTATATATAAAATTTACTATCACTTCTACCTGAATATCCTTATAATTCATTAAGAAATTTTTTTTGAACTTCACAATTATTATAAGTACACCATGATTGTAAATTTTTTGCACCATCAGGTTTCTTACCTTCAATGCCTCATAGTTTGATGTCCGAGTCAAGAAATTTTCCCAAGATTTATTTATCAGTTCTCTCTGTGTGTGGGTAGCTTGGATCTGTCATATAAATTACACAATGCCGGTATCAGAGCTCTTCTGATTTCATTGCTTGTGCCATTTGAAAAGAATTTTCAGCTCCACCCCTTTGGCTACATTAGCTCATCCCTCTCACCTTGGAGATTGGACAACAATGTAGTAAAGTACTTGCCCTTTAAAAACTGTATTTATGCACTGCACTTATAAACAAAGAGGTTTTTGTGCAAACTAATTTTTCTCTCTTCCAACATGTATGTTGGATGAAATCCAGCTCTTTCAGGAATACCTCTGTATATTCTTACTCTCAAATGCCGAATAAAAGAGATAGAATCAGTTCAGGTGACAGAAGTGCAGTCATCACAATGCAGGACAATCTCTCAAAAACACTAGCATGACATTTCAGACAACTGGACCAGCTGATCTTGTTTTTCAGAAAGCAGGAGAGGGTGAGACAACAGATGAGCAAAACCATTAAATGTTTGCCTTATAACCAAAGCTGGAAAATGTCTGTACCTTCTCATTCTCAACATGCTGGGAAGCACAAAGCCCTACCTTCTGAAGTAGTAAAGGCCCATGAATATTCAGAAAGGGAGCTTATAATAGAGACTTATATTACATTTTAAGAAGCAGGCGTAGTTGTAATAGTTGTAATAACTTTGTATTGTTATCTGCTACAGATGAACAGGAATGCAACTTTATAGTAAAATAATGATCATTTCTCATTACTCCATTGCTGATGCATCACTGATGATACTGCTTCATTTTTTCATATTGCTCTCTAAATACTGTGGAATTTATAGAAGCTGGGAGGACTGAGGTTAACCTAATTTAAAGTTAAAATTTGGCTGCTGAGACAGATTAAAACTTTTCAAGCAGTGTTCACATACAGAATTCTCAACATTATATAATAGGAAAATCTGCATATGAATGGAAAAAAAAAACTTAGGTGGGCTTTCCTTATTTAAATACTCCTTTGTCTTACTTTCTTGTAAATTTTTTTCTCTTCTTGGATTTCCTGGTGGTATTGTCTCTCAAGCACTTCAGTCTGCAGAGAAGCAACCATTTTTCCAGTATTTTCTGACACATCTGAAATATGTTTCAAGTTCATCTCATCTGGTGTAACAGGCCTGAATTCTTCTTTTATTTCTGCAGATATTTCACTCCAAACCTCTCCAATCTGTGTGTGAAACATACACCATGAGATTCGGTATTTATCTCATTCTTCAGTTCCAATTATTCAAAATAAAATACTGCAACCATCTCTCTCCTTATTGTTGACTTAGAATTTTTATGCAAGGTTACTTGCACTACTACTGCACTACTACTATGCCAGATTCAGTCATGATAAGCCTACCTAAGCCTTCCCAAATCCAAACTTGATTCAAAGAGGGGCAACAGGAATGCTGATAACTACAGAAATTCAGAAGAAATAGCTTCAAGATACCAATTTACAAGAGCAAAGTGCTGAGTCCTACTGCCTACTTCTTAAAATCTCAAATTGGAGACATTATTAGAGCAAACTGCAAAATGAGCCATCAAGAGAAGCTGGAATTATCAACCAAAGACTGTGTCTTGCTATTTCCTGAACACTGCAAGCTCTCACAGACTTTGTTCCTAAGCATAAATTTATCATAAACTAAAGCATCTTTTGAGCAAGACAACTCTCAAAAAGCTTGCTAACCTGCTGTAGTCCCTATAGGCACACCATTCTTAACTTTACAATGGATGGATAGATGGGTGGATGGATGGATGGATGGATGGATGGATGGATGGATGGATGGATGGATGGATGGATGGATGGATACTGCACGTGGCAACAAACCTGGCAAAGCACAGAAGAAACTTTAGAAAAATGTGTTTTTAATATAATTTTTAGTAGTGTCCTCTTAAACTGACCTTACTGCGCAAGGACGCAGTCCTACTCTCCCGTCCTTCCCCAATTTCTTACTCCTGGCATATTCCTCTCTTGATCTGGCAAACAGTTAAAACTATTTTTTTCTGAGTTATTTTTTAACTAGCATTAGTTCCTAGTCTTGGTGCAGGGTCACAAACATTTGTAGCAATACGAAGCAAGAAGATGGGGAATGATGCAATGTTGGAGGTGGGATTGCTTCTTTTGCTGGTGAATAGTGGCTTTCACTATGTGAAATTATAGGTGACTTGTGACATAGGAGATGGCTTTTGATTGTTGTGTCCTGAGATATACTTGCTTTTTTTGGGAATGCAGGCACAATAGTATTATTTGCTTGGACTATACTCACTTTAAAGTCAATATAATGTTGTATAATAGCAAGTGTAACAAAATCCTTAGTAGATAGGCCAGGCAAATTTTCAAAACCTAAAAGAATATTAATCACATGAGTATGATGAACTTATCTTAAAATATTATATTCTAAAAACCTTATTTGTCATATAAACACATGCAACACTTCATCACACATACACCAGTCAAACACTTTTGATCCTGAACATTTTTTACATTTTTTTGCTGATCAAAACCCCCTGTTTCTCCATAATACACTCTTTCTGTACTAAAATCTTTACTTATGAATGGCTCTGTCTGCCTCCCGATCACTTGGTGGGCCAGGATGCTACACTTGTGGTAAGGGCTGAATTTCTGTTAAAGCAGACAAACAGCTGAGTCTACTGATCACAGGTTCTAGAGCAGCAGTTCAGATGACAAACAGCTTAAAACACAGTTTGCTATAACTGTGAAGTAGCCAACAGGAAAATTATACTAATGTTTTGTTCCAAAGCTGTGTGAGGGTGTCCCTCCATCTTGTAGATTATTATCTTCAGCATAATTCTTGAGCATCATGACTCCATCTTTTGAAAATGCTCGCAGTACGTGTAAAAGAATAAGGTAGGGAAGTATGATTGCTGAGACTATTTTTAATTTTTTTTTTTTTGTGCACTGAATGATAACGGCACTTAATTAAAAAAAAATCTAAATATGGTCTATCAAATCTCTTTCTAGACTTCGTCATATCATCTGTGTGGTAACTGGGAAAGTAGCATCTGTCTAGAGTATAATTACATCTTGTTTTAAAGCTAAGAAATACTGTAAATAAAGACCATTTACCACTACTGATTTTCTAGATTGTCGTGTTACAGGCTGTTATGAAGCTTAATAGTAAGAGGAAATTGCTGACAAAAATATGTCCATATGTTATTATCTACTTTCATATAATTCAGTACTTCACAGGAGGCAGTACAATGTATATAACTAACATGACGGATATCTGTGAATACGGGAGAAAGCTGAAGGAAAATCTTATGCCTTTTTATTTTAGTAAATAATCCAGCTGTGATCCAACATTCAATATAATTAACATTACTAAAATTAGTAAGAACCTGGGTTACAATAGAGGAGCAAGTAGCTATAGATTATTAGAAACACTAAGGATGTTTTCAAACCAGCTCATTCTCCAGGTAAAGCAGAGAACTGGCTGAAGCAATCTCAGAACAATTACTGATTATCTTTAAACTGCAGAGGATGGACATGAAAACAAAAATAAGCCTAAAAAACCCATGAAAGAAATAATTAGATAAATAATGTTTATGCAGCTAAATGTTAACAGTAAACCAAATTAATATCCAACATGAATTACTGAAAACTAAGACCCAACTTTTGTCTACAGACAGAAAAAAAAAATCTCATGCATGTGGAAGAATTTATCACTTATCTTGAGTTCAGTTTAGGTTTTAAGACAAGGGTATAATGAGTATTCATGTTCAGTGTAAAAACAACAAAAAATTAAGAGGAACTGCCACACTTTGAAAGAAAATATTAAAATGCAAATTAATCTTGCCACTCTAAAAAACTATCTAAAACCACAGAATTTAATTCAGTAAAGACAAATAGAAAATTTTAACTGTAGGAGTAGCCACCTGTAAAACATTCTAAGCTGAATGAGCAAATAGTATCATGCCACTAGGAATACAGCTATTGTTACATTTATGCCTGAATGTTTATTTACAAGATGTATAGAGTAACATAAGTCTATCTAGCTGTGAGGCTTCTGCTGGAGTACTTTGTTCAGCTTTGGGATACTACAGACCAAGAAGAATTTGATTCAATTGGAAAGAGTACAGAAAAAAAGGAATAATTAGAGATTATGTTAGAAAATGCAATCAATGAGTATTATCTTTCTCAATCTAGAGAAATAAATGTACAAGTGCTAAAATATGTGAAAGAGATATTGTGTGTAGGAAAATAAATTGCAGAGAATTTCAAGCAAATTTTAGGTTTAGAAGAAAATTATAAGAAAATTCTTCCTGGTGGTAGGGGCAGCAAAGTAGTAGGGAGCCTCTGAAATCCCAATAAAAAGGAACTTTTAAAAAAAAGATAAAAACCAAGCATCTATTAGAGAGTACTGATGCTGAATCACAATGTTACCTTTAACCTTGTTTTTTTACAGCAACTTTATTGATAAGTTCAGTTTAATGACAAATATGACACTAACATAACAAGGCAACTAATTTTTCTTACCCAGCTTGCAAAATAATAAATAAACTTTTGCCCTCATGCTCTCTGAAATCTCCATGATGGCAAAAGTGGGACAGCTGGCAGGCAGTGGAACGACCTTTTGCTGTTTCTGGAAGCTGGTAGTAATAGGTCTCTTGGTGTCTAATACAAAAACACAAAACCAGAGTAGAAGAATGAAGTAGTAGTATGTTCCCAAACTTAAGAGGAAATCCATCTTACTTTGTTGACACACAAATAATTTGTTTGTTTGTTTGTTTGGCCAAGAGTTTGAACATAATTTGGGTCTGGAAATTTTAAGTAGCATGACTAAAAATTTGTGAGAACAGCACTCACTTCTTTTTACAACATAGAACAAAATACAATGCCTTTTGTGGAAGAAATTAAGCAGTTTAACTGTCTAGCATTAGAAAAGCTGGTCATGGTTCTGCTCAATACTTGGTTCATTCCCAGCTGATGTACAAAATGCCACATAGTGGCCAGAATAAAATGAAAATAAATGAATAAATGAAATGAAATAAAAAATTAATGAAATGGAAGATATTTTAGGTTTGGTAAGACTTATAGTGTAAAGTTATAAATGCTGTTATTTACTGTCATCAGAATTCAGACTACAAAAGCAAATAATGTCATTATTTTACTGGACTGCTCACAGTTCCACATGTATCATAACACTTACCAATAATCACTCCATATTGATCACGTTTGATTCCCAATTCCAGCTCCTCCTGTCTCCATAACTGTATTAGAAGGTTAGCTGCTGTTTGATCTCTCCTCCCTCGCCAGACACTCATGTGCAAAACCGTTTTAGGGTTATCAGAAAGATCAACCAAGATTCCAAGAATTGTATTGCACAGGTTCTTTTCCTTTAACTTTATAAGGACAAAGTAAAGAAAGTTTTAAAAGTGTTCAAAACACAGTGATGTCTTCTTTCTGAGAAATTGTGTACTATGTAATCAATGCAAGCTCTTCATCACTAGTATTTGCACAAAATTCATGTATAAGCTTGTAAATCCTTAATGTTTCTGGAATCCTGCTATGCAAAGTTCCATCAATCAAGGAACATGAGTGCAGGATCATATAAGATGCATTCTTGTGTGGAGAATCACACAGTGGATTCTGTGGACATGGCTCCACAATCATATGCTGGAGAATACAATGCTACCAAGGTTTATTGTTTTAAGAAACATAACTCAGAAGGCAGAGGCTGAGCAGTACCTCACAGCGCACCTTCTGTTTTGTGGCCAGATCTTTTGGCAGCAGCTGAGAGGAGGCAAGGGCTTCAAACTGAAAGAGGGTCAGTTTAGATTAAATATCAGGAAAAAATTCCTTCCTTTGAGGCTGATGAGCAACTGGTTGCCCAGAGAAACTGTGGATGTCCCAGACCTGAAGGCTGGATACAACAGGCTGGATGTATTTTTGAGCAACCTCATCTAGTGGAAGTTGGCCCTGCCCATGGCCAGGGGAGGTGGAACTGGATGATCTTTAAGGTCCCTTCCAGCTCAGGCCATTCTGATTCTGTTATTCTGAGTGTCTGCAGCCTTGCACTGCAACAACATCAGGGGCTAACAGCACAACCAGCGTGAATGAGGAATTAATGACCCACGGAAGGTGCCTTTTAACTTCGTTAAGAGGTAAAATGTCTGTGCCAGCTCCGTGTCCAAGATCCACAGTAGTAGCTATACACAAGATACATGTACAAAGTAACTTCAAACACATAAACTGTTAAAGCCATCAAGTACTCTTAATAACTTCTAATATGAAGAGCTGAAGTGCTTTTCTAAAGAGAGATGTCATGCAAACTGAGCACATAGTTTGGGTTTTCTTTTAAAAAATAATATAGTTTTGTTGAATTAAAAACTTCCTCTGTCAAATACATATTAAAAAATATACAGGGAAAACCTATACAATAATTTCTGAGCAAATATCTGGGTCTGTCTCAGGGAATTAAATAAACTTGGAATTTTTTTTGTTTGTGTTGCGTTTTTTATTTTGTGGGTTTTTTTGGTTTGTTTTTTGATTAGTTTTGTTTGTTTGTTTGTGTTTTTGTATTATACCAGTCTTCAGTGATACTGCAACAAAAATAACACAATTTCCCATGTTGTTTTCCAATTCTTTCATTCTACAAAACCAATAATAAAAATACCTACTGCCAACAAATCCAGAAGGAGGAAAATGCCCTGTTTTTCAATAAAAGAGTCCTCTGCAATGTAACATCCAATGACACAGGACCTTAAACAGAAATAATTTCTCTTATGTAGAAACACTTTTATTATTCTGAACATTCTACAATCATCTAATTTATTTTGCTGAATTTCATGCCATTTGGTATGTAATATGCAATATGCTTCATACCTTCAGGGAGTAGAAAAATCATGTTTCACATGCCTTTTCATTTACACCTCTAAATATACCCTGCTTGACTGCTCTTTCTTCTCCTGGGGCAAGGTGGCACACCTTCCTTGAAGCAGCCTGATAACTTTGGCAGGCTCTCAATGAATTGGAGTATATATTTGAACTGAAACGAACTCAGTAAACGAGTTTGAAATTTAACCAGGTTATGTCCCTAATCTAGTTTATTGTAGGGCTGTGTGAATATTTCTGCCAGCAAAAACAAGGAGGTTAGTCAAGCAAGACATTTTTGGCAACAATTTGCTTCTCCCAGATTAAAATGATCATAAAGCCAGCATTCATGTTGCTGTTGCTTCTTTATTTCCTCTGCTATGGTCATTAACAAAGAAACTAAAGCGAGCTCCTGTATCAGTATTTTCTCCTAGCAAACATATTTGATTTTTAATGTATTCATCAACCTCTGCCTTAAAACAAATAAATTTTTATTTTCCTTCTATGTACTGGCAATCTTTAAAATATTTATAGCCCAATATAGTCAGTTTACAAACCCTATGTTTACACAGTTTTTTGCTAATATTGGTCTATTCTTGCCTGCTATTTACCTCTCTAAAGTTATTTACAGATTCTAACAATATGCCTTTCTTAGAAAGAGGCATATGAGTAACACTGCATGTCAGGAGGTCACTCTGCGTGGGGAGTAAGGTTGTCACACTGAATCCATATTTAGAAAATCTTACTTACAGTGTATATCATTTCTTTTGCATCATTTTTAACTAGTCAAATTTTATGAAGAATTTTTATACATTATAAACAGAAGAAAAGCCTATATGTGCAGAGAAAGGTCACAGCATTGCAGACCTAGAAATACAAGACTTGACATTTTTCCAAGTTACTGCTGCTAAAATAGTTCACTAACCACAAGCAGTCGAGTGCACTGAGGAGGAGACAATTGTGGCCTAATGCACAATATAACTTCCTTGGCTCCATCTTAAAGAATGAGATGAGTATAGCAACTCCTTCACAGCTGAAGAGTTCCTGTTGAAATGTTAATTAAAGCAATGTTTCTTAAGCCATATTTACTAAATTTAAACATGTAAGAAAATACAATGGAAAATGGGAAATGTAAATATTTCTATTGTAATGAATTTGGTCCACTTGTTAGAGCAGAATGTACACATAGGAAAAAGGATTTTCAGTTTTTCCAAAGTGCTAATTCATCTCTTAACACACTTTCATATATCAATTTCAAAACAATGTAAATTAGCAAATAGATTCAATACTTGCTAGTGGATTTCTGAGTGTTTTTATATTTTAGCTGGGTCAAGAAACATGACTTGTTAACAATGAACTACAATTGACACCTGCTTTTCAATTAAAACACAAAAAAGCAGCTTCCCTAAAAAGAAAATATATAGTATGTTTTGACATTTTCTGCACAGTATAAGGTAGAAATATACATACCTTTCTGTGGACATCATTTTCACAGAGAACAGACAAAATAAATAATATGTCAGCTTGGATTTCTAGTAGAATGGTACCTTCTTTTTCTTTAGATTTGTCTGCTGCATACTTTAAGATGTCTGTAAATGGAAATATTTTATATATATGAATACCCCTATACAGATGTCAAGATTCTATTACAGCTGCTGCTTTTTACAAAACTCAAATTTATATGAAAGGATTTTAAAAATAAGTTCAGTTTTATCTCCTGTGTTTAAATAACAGCTTCCAGAAGTGCAGCACTCTGATGCTGCAGTTTCATGGCCTTTACTCTTGGTGACAATGACAGCAGCTTGCACTGACTTCTCCCTTATTCAGACTCTGTGCTGCCCCTTATATTGTGTCAGTGTAAGGAATTCAGGGAACTGATATGAATTAAGGGACTCTTAGAAAAAGACAACAAACTGGCTGGTTCACTCTACTCCACAGTTTCACAAATGTTTCAACTGACAGTGGAAATGTAGGAAGAACATGAAATACCATCATTTCTGAGAAAGTCAGCCTTGGAACCACAATGTGGAAGAGGGCATTCATACACAAATTCTCCCCTAGAGTAAAAGTTGCTTGATTCTGATATGTAAGGTATAGTAATAATTTTACTTTCACTAAAAGCTGCAGGTTTCCAGAGCTTTCACTGGAGTTGAAATGAGGCTATAAAATACTTAGTTTCTAGGCTTTTTGTTAGAACATACTCTTTGAATTCCAAAGGATCTTTTCTGTTTTGTTTCCTTCAGAGTGGTGAAAACTTTCTGTTATTGTAAGAAAAACTTAAACCAGCTTGTTTTGGAACTTAAACCAAATTTAACAGTCGGTATGTGTTACTGAACAAGAAATGCTCTAAAATTGCAGGAGCAGTGATTAAGCAGTTTTATTCTGCTTTTTTCCTTCATGTTGTTCATATAAAGGTACCATGTTATTAGTTTTATTCTATGCTAAAGAGGAGTTGTGGAAAGCAACACCATAATAGACCTAGGTGGAAAAATACTCATGGGCTGGAGTTTCTGGGGACTGCCACAATGAAAACAGGATCTACCAAATGCAGTAACGCAAAGTGAGAAGAGGCAGCTTTTGCTCTGAAATTAAACATCTAAACTTTTAAAATTGTCTTCTTTGCTTAACTCGTTCAATGAGTATTGAAGTGGAAAAATAACCCATCAAATCAGTTACATCTTGGATTAATTGGTAGAGTTTTTTTTAGCTTTTCAGCAGTCGAAGGACACATTAAAAGCGTGGCACACAAAAAGCATGAATATTCTCAGTGTCAACAGAAAGGTACTAATTAAAGAACAGCAATACAAATTGTGCTTTACCCAGTAGCTGGCTAATTGCTCCCTGGTCACACAAATTAGTGCTCACAGCATCATCATAGAGGGCCACAACAGATCTCAGAGCTCGGAGGCTGTAGCGCATTTGTGGGAGTTTGTTGCCACGACCACCTGTTCCATGGAAACTGCTACCTTGTCCAAAGAAAGGATCTGTGGAGCAATCACAACGAATACTAGTTTTGGCAGATAATATATGTTCAGAATAATGTGCTCAGGAAAAATAAAAAGAAAACAAAACAAAACCCCAAAACACAACAACAACAAAAACCCCAAACTCCATTGAACTTAGGAATTATTCTTGTTTAAAACCATCTAGTAATAAACCTTTTTATGTAGAACTACACTTTTTACATGCATAAAAAAGGTAACATTTTGGTGAACATTTAAAATTATTATACATTTTTTAACCTTACTAGGTTCATGAGCAGTTTTACAAATTCAAAATATATGTTTAGTATGACATTTAATCAAAACCTTTTTATCTCCATTCAACCCAAATAAAAATTTCTTAGGAAATTTCTTAGGAAACCTAGGAAGACATACCAATTTTATGATGACAAATACCTATCCTTAGAAATCTGATAAATAAAACTGAGTGCACATAGTTATATTTTTGCTTAGCCCATGCTCTTATCTGATACCCAGAAGCCAGCTGTAGTCTGGAACCTGTCTCACTATGTATGACTCTGAGTTAACATGTCCTGTCTTATGGCAGGAATTTCTGCTTGGACTTCTTGCCTGGGAAGGGAAGGACCTGGTTTACTTAAAACACAGAGAGCAGAGGTGTTTGTCTGAAGGAATATCAGTACAGTGGTACACAGAGAGAGGGGCACCAGCTCATCTTTCGGCACAAAAAAAAAAGATGGTTGGTTTATTTTTTGTTTGTTGGTTGTTTTTTGGTTTTTGTTTCCTAGGTGGCCTATGAAAAAGAATCCTTCTGACATCATGAGTTTTATATTTTCCTTTCCTGTCAAAGCAAGTAGGTTCAGTTGAACTGTTCTCAGGTTACCTGTGTATGAAAGCCATGAGTACCCACTGACCTTGGCCTACACACCATTCTAGAAACACAAGGAGAAGAGTATTCGCTTGGCAGGACAAATATTTGTCTAATAACACAGGAGCCACTGAAGCTAAAACAGCAAGTGCATGAAGCTGTAATTCTTCATATTGGGCATCAGACCAGTTAGGAAATCCAGACTTTCGATTTTGTTTCACATAATAAAGCAAAGCTGGCATTACATGATTTTCACCGAGGAGCTGCAGAGTCCAGACAAAGAAAAAGACAGTTCACGGGTTTCATATGCAAGTAAGAAAAATCTAAAGGGTGAGTCAACTTTATCTGCCCTACACCAACAAAATTGTATATTTATTGAGAAAATATATCATGAACAGTACAAGTACAGGCAAATTTTATATTCTATAGCTTTCCCAGAGATTGTGGTTTGCTAAATTTTATTATGTTCTTCAGGTGTATTTCAATAATGCTCTGCAGTCACTTGTCAGCAATTTTCCTAGCGTGGTCTAAGTTTGTAACTTTCTAAAATAGAAATTGTAGGCTGCTTTCCAACAGCAGGGCCTGGTCTAAAGCTATGTATGAATTCTTGATTTGGAGAACAGATAATTTCAGTGTACTGAACTATGATAGATGGACAGATAAGTAATAGTCTCATGATTCTTTTGTCTTTTTTTTTTTTTTTTTAATTATTATTTCTATTCTGTTACAACTTACCTGTGCAGCAGATGGGTCTCTAGAGAAGATTTTTAATACATTAAATAGTAACTTCTTCATCTCAAAATCCTCATATGAGTAGGTAAGTTTAAAACCCTTTACCAAGGGATTGGGAAGTTTAACTATGAAGAAAACGGTAGATAAGTTACAAAAAAAAACTAATTAAAAGCAAAAAATTGTGTAATTATGCAGTATGGAATCTCTTACCTTCAGTACATGTTGCAAGTACTATTAAGACCTTTGCAAATCCACTTTCCTAAGAGGCATTCAAAAAACATACATTAATTAAATTGCAGTGAAATTAAGACTTATGATTTAATTTTGGCTTGACTTTTTTCTTCAGAACACAGAATTTAATGTATCCTGTGGCAGAATAAACAGAATTTTATCAAAGAAGAGAAAAACCATTTGTAGATAATACAACAATAACTAACTGCAGTCCTAAGGGTGCAATTAGTTAAACTCATGTTTCATTCACTACAAGTCTGAACTTCTGTGGGGACGTCCCAAACACTTGCATTCACTACTATAGTCTAACACAGAAAATTATTCTCAGTGCTTTTAGAGCTGTTTTTTAAAATGCATTTGGTCATGTTTTACATTAGGGTCATCAGTACATATAATTTTGTGGTATCAGTTGTGCATACCAATGCACTTCAAATTCAGTGCATTTACAATTAAACATATGAAAACTGCATGTATGGGCAAGAAGAATTTACCAATATCACATATGAAAAGCTCAGAAATAAAATCTTGTGAATCACAGCTCCTAGAGAGCTAACAGAAGGACAATAGTGTCTAATATAACTATGGATAGGACCAAAGCCAGGAGGTGTCTACACAGCACATTAGAGGCAAAGGAGTGTTGTTTCTGAGGTAAGCAATTAGCAAACAATTTTTTTTTTTTCCTAATACAGTGATAATAATACCATTAGGAACTTTACAGAAATTTTACAGTTTGCTTGTGATGAGAAAACTTTTCCTTTTCAAAGGCTCACACTCCTGTGCCTTTTGTGAACTATATAAAATACAATGCTGACTTTTCTGGAGTTGCTTGGATAGTGTATTAAGAAGAAAAGGGAACATTCTGAAGCAAATTGCTCTAGTATTATCTATAAGGCAGAATTAAATGGTAATGTTAATGTTTTTTCTACCTGATATTGTTTTAATATTTTCTTTGTATAGAAACAAATTTTCTTTCTTCCTTTTAGTATAAGGAATTAAAGATGCATATCTGGTTTACTTATTTTGTAGGAAATAAATGCCCTGTTTCTACAGCCAGATAAACAATTTGAATGTTTTAAATATCCAATACGTTGCTGCAACAGTATAACAGATATTTCATATTTGTTGGTATTAAATGAAAAACTTGAATGAAAAGTCTGTAATCTTCATTTAGTAATACAGCCAATTGGTAAACTTCTCTTCGAGAGGAAAGTAATATATTCCTGAACAGCCAGTTGATCCACAGGGATCTGATTGCTTAATTATTCAGTATGTATGTTACAACTTCATTTGAAGTTGTAAATCTCAAGTGTAAAACAAGAGACTAAAGCAATAATAATGTCTATATAAAGGTAATTTCTCTGCAGATTTCTCATAAAAATTCTGGAATATTAAAAAAGAATGACTCATCTACATTTCAGGCAAGTCGTGGTAGTGCATTATGTGACATAGTCTTTGAAAGATTATATGTGTCTCTTATTAACAGGACCTAAGTAATTATTTTCTCAAAATCTTACTTAGAGCACCTGAGCTGATTTTTGGACACCCTTCTTGTTCCCAGTTATGAGGCACACATTGAACTTGGGTCATCTGAATATAATCTACACCTTCAAACAACAAATGAGATTTAGTGCAAAACTCATTTTAGGAGAATGGCACATTCAAGAACCCATACAAGAATACAATAATTAAATAAAATTTTGCATAAATAATGTTAATGTGATTTTCTAAGTATTAAATAGGTTGATGCTAGTATTCTGGGCTAATAAAAAAAAGCACTGGAGACACAGAAGAGAAAAAATATTAGAACCCTAATGAGGAAGAATACCAAGCTTATAAAAGCAAAGGAGAAGCTATTAGTCTCTGGAATACAACTCTAAGTACTTACAATCATAGGTACTGCAGGGTTTTCAGCTAGTAATGTGGCAATCACCAAGAGGTCATTCCGTAGCTGATGATCATAGTGCTGGAAGCCACACGTGACATCTACAAATACTTCTTTCAAAGCACTTAGAAGAAAATGAAATGCATTTTACTTTTCCCTTTGATATTCTAATGTAGGACAGTTCTACATATATGAATCTTCATTCAGCATCATACTTTTCAAAGCCTTAGGGTTTAACTACAAGAGAAATAACTTAAAATTTTATTATGAAGTGGATTCTTTTGGATACCACTAGGCATCCCATTTATTCATAGATGCAAGATGCATGCATTAAAAATTGCATCTTCCACTGTTTGTGTTATAATAATACAAAGACACAATATTTACTCAGACATTGCTGAATGATTATTGAGAGGAAATAGTCTGATCTTAAATAATTAAAACAGTCTAACTCACTAAGGAAGAACCTGTTATTTACTCCAGTAGAGGATCTAGAAATAAACCTTGTATATCATGGCATTGAAATTTCTTGTAATTTTGTAACATCAGCATTTCAACAGTGAAGGAACACTGTTAAGCCTAATGTGGGAGCTTCAAAATGCTGCAATTAACTCTTCTATTGTACAAAGCAATAGATAGAGCTATTCTTCCTGCACTATGCAGAGAGCACCTTCTTCTTACCCTGTAACAGCAACTACTATGTTAATACTGAAAACTTAATGAGGATGCAGAGATCCCTTTGCATTTCTCTCAGTTAATTTCAAACAAAATGCTACACAACAGAATGCTCCAGATGTCTCCAAAATTACAAAATTAATTCATAAAATGCTCCCTGTACTTACTGTACACATTCCAAGCTTCTGAGCTGATTGACAACTTCTTCTTTTGAGGCTTTTTCTAGCAGGTTCCATAGGATATCTGAGGAACAGAACACCAGCTGTCCTGAGGGGTCAGCACCATTTAGACACAAACAAAGCCTGCTGGCTGCTTGGGCCTTCACCATTTGTCCACAACTTATTTCTGAAATTATGTAAATCAGAGTAATTAATTCTCTATAGGTCAGTAATTGTTTCAGGCATGTTCAGAGAAAAAATTATCTAAAATCAATGGTAATGAGATTATTGAAAGAACAGTTTGTACTAACCAGAGGTGGAAAGAAGCTGAAGAGCTTTAAGTACCCACAACTTCTCAGTAAGTTGATTTTCAACTAATGCTAGTGACAAAACAAGAGCTTCTGCTAATCCTCCTGCCTCAGCCATCTTGATTTTGTAGTTTGGACTTGTTGGCTGATAACCTGCACATACAGTAGCTTTAGTTGAAATGCAATAAATACTCAGAATTTTGATTACTTCATAAAATGTTCATACTTCTTAAAGAAAGGATTGAAAATCAAGTACCATATTTCAAGGAATTAATAAAAACAATGCAATACACAAGAGCTGCTTTTAGTATATCTGAATAGTGCCTATAACATATACAACAGACTCATCCTCAAGCAGACTTCAATGACATAGAAACAAATTACTTGCTTCTTAGAATTTAGACAATGAAAGCAAAAGCAGGGCTATAGAAGTGAAAAACTTTCTTCAGTCATCAGTAACCTAGCTCTCTTCAGTAGCCTGTTGTCTAGAGAATTACTGCATTCTATCATCATATTACTTAAAATAGTAAAATCAAAATCCAAACTTTGATTTACAAGCTTGACTTTCTAATGTGTCCCTATTTTTACTTCTGTCCAGGCATATGCAAATATGTATTTCATTACTGAATTATGGGGAAGGTGAAGCACTGAGAAAATAAATGTATATTTATTTTTATATTATGATAACTCATGAGAGCAAGTTTATCTTAAGCAGTTTAAATATATATATATGTATATACACACACACACATATATATCAAATGTCATAAAGTACAAGACTGATAAATACAGATAATGCACATGGTGAAATGAGGTTTAACTAAGCACACACTCTGATAGGCTCCAAGTTGATATTACTTTATAGATAAGAGAACTCTGTAGGGTCAGACTTTGGCAAGATTTACATATATGCTTAGAGATGAAATATTTGACTTAAGAAAGAAATCAGACTGAAACACATTCTTTATTTCAAGTTAATATATCTTATTTTCTAAACTGGAAGAAGAAAAACAAAATTGCTCAATAACATTCATTTATCCCGATGGAATTATTTACAGATACAGAACTAAATGCACACATAGCTACTTGCAGGATTTGAGTCTTGTTTGTAAGGTAAAAACAGGTTTGGGTGTTTTCATATTTCTAGAATTTTGAAAGGGTTATAGTAACAGCAGCTTCTTTAGGCCTCCTAAAATAAAAGAAAACTTGTAAAAGGGCACAGGACTAGTGCCCCACTGCAGGAACACAGCAGGGGAGCACACTGACATCAAGCATGCTCCCTGACCTGCACTCTTGAGCCACACTGTGGCAATATTCCCTTGAGGCTGGCTGCCTATAAATGCAGCACAGTCTCAGAGCATGTGATGTTGTGCCCCTGTGGGAGGGGATCCATGACTGACTTCACCTGACAACAGTCTCTGGCACCATCATAAGAGTCAAAGGAATTCTACAACAGTGCATTCTGATCATGCCTGAGTTCATGCATAGCCTCTTTCTGTAGAGATAAGTCACACCATTTCTTTAAACTTATGCTCCAATGTGTCCATGTAATATGAACTCAATCAAATTTACATGGGTTCAGATCTATCCCTCACAACACAAGTGACATCAGAGCTGCTTATCTCCAGGCTACATATAAAAACCTAAAAACTACATTTCCCTTCTTATAATTCTGATCCTAACTGCTTTTTTCCCCCCCTCCATTACCCACATTTCAGAGATCTTCTATCACTTCACATTTTCTGGATGCCATTTAATGCTAATTTTGAGAGTGTAATAATTAATTCCTTGCACATTGATGAGCTTATATTTAGAATATGCACCTCTCTAAAAACATGTTAATTATACATTTGACAATGTTATATATTTAATATATGAGATACAGTAAGCATAGTTATAAAGAAAATTTAAACAATAGCTAATTAAAAGAGGCATTTCAAAGTAGGTGGTATCATTAAAAAATAAAAATATCCTGCTTTACCTGAAAGTAGTTTTCCTGGTAGCTCCATATTATAAAAGTTAATAATACTCTTACAGATTTGTATTTTAACTTGAGAGCTTGGCACTCTCATCAAGTAACCTGAAAGAAAGAGAAATAAATGTAATTAACAGACTTTATAATTTTTTTAGAAAGTATTCTTAACACAAAATTCTTCTTTTCACAGCACTTAGTATTACCTACAAATCTGTAATTTCATGCAAAGTTTCATTATAAGATATTCAAGAGGCAGAGACTCCCACACTGGAGAGGACAAAGGCATCTTAGAGGAGTAGCATAAGTTTAATTAAAGTTACCTTCTCTGCTTTATAGCTACAGACACTTACAAGGCACTGGATGTTATTCCAGAAGTTGTGGAATTCTGAGGAAAGCTACTAAGCTACTACACTAAGCTGTTGCCATCACTACCATGTTATTAGAAACTCTTCTAAGCAGATATGATATGCAGGAAGGATACACGTTCCTGGCATCCCAGGTTTCAGTGTTTACAGTGATACCCCCATTTCTCAGATCAAAATGAAATGAAACAGGCTAGATACACATTTACTTCTTCATCTGCATTGATAACATTTTCTCATATGGCTTTTGACATTGGCAAATAGGTAATTCTGCTAGCCAATCTTCAGGCTAGCTGCAGAGCAAAGTAAAAATTGTTTCTAATATGACAAAACACAGAGGATTGAATGAATAATTTAAAGAAACTACCTACATTTATTAAGGAGTAACAATAAATTAAATTTGTGCTAATAATACAGTTGATTTTATTGTGGCATAATCATAATTTTATTGTGGCGTATCAGGTTACACTCACCCAGTTGTGCAATGGATTGTGAAACTTCATCAGAATAGTTTGTTTTATCAGAGACTTTCTTTTTTTGAAATGGTAACCTGCAAAATGAAATGTGAAAATATTACAACTATATTTTAATCAAGTCACCAGAAAAATTCATTAGGTGTTTTCTTCTTCCTTGCTAATTTTTTCAGATAAGGACACATTTTCTAGGGTGAATGCATTCTTTACATAATCTGCAATTACATGTTGGCAATTAGTGGTACATGTTCAGAGATACTATTTTCATAATTAAAATATGATGCAACAAGACATGCTGAATAAACAAACGTCATTTAAATGTGGAAGACTAAATCCTACAATGTAGACACTATCAGGCTACTACAGAGCTAGGCTATGTACAGACGTGCAGAGGTGGAAAAAAGGGATCATATCTCTGGGCAAGACCTCTTGAAATGGATAAAAGTAAACCAAATAAACTGACTCCAAATAGCACAACAACAAATTTATTTTTAAAACCAGCAATGACATACTCAAAATACTCAGATACGACATAAACATGTAAGTGCTAAAAGCTGTCTAACAGTAAACATTACAATATTATCCTAAGGTCTCTGCAGCACATACTGTAGAAGCAGCTTTCCGGTAGGTTTACCTCTCAAAACACTGCCAGAGAAAAAGAAAGGAGAGAAGAAACAACAGAGTAAATGCTGGGAGAGGCAGGGGAGGGAGAAACAAGACACTAAAAAAAAAAAAAAAAAAAAAAAAAAAGTGGGAAAAAAAAAAAACAGGAGCAGTTACAAAAGAATGAGATATCTTACTGGAGAAATTAATGTATCTGAAACTTAATTCTAAAAAAAACCCAGCCCCTGCCTCTGGTTAAAGGCTTCTCTGCCATATGAAGTAGTAGTGAATTGTGGTGGAATTTCCATAGTACAGAAATTAAAGCAAAACCCAAGTGCGCAATTTTCTAACATATAATCACTGCAGAAACCACAATTAGTGCTGAACTGCTCTAAAAGAAGAAGTGTCACAGCTACATTTTATCAACTTCATGCACTCATGTTCAGTTTTGTTATGCTTCTAGCAAACACCAGAGAAAATTAAACTCCACGATGTACCTCCTCACTCCCCACAGTGTGGCAGCAAAGAAAAGCAGTACATCTCAGAGTGCTTAGGGAACTAAAAGATTCAGCTGACAAGTTCTGTGTTTATTAAACATAACAGCTGACAGGAACCTATGTAAAAATTTACCTGAATATCTGTTTTATTATGCCACTAGTTTTCTATCTGGTGGTTTGTTTTTTTTTTTTTTTTTTTTTTTTTTTTTCTCTTCCTTATTCTCCTCCAATGAAATTAAATACAGGAGTAACTGTAGCTACAAGCCCACCATAAATAACTTTACTGAATTATTGAGGAGGAGAAAACTACTGAGAAGTGTGGGTAACACCTAAATTCTATTCTACTGATTATTTAAAATATGGTATGACAACAAAAATGCCCAAAAGTTCATGCAATACACTTTTAAACTAAATATAAATCCTAAATCCTTTAGAGGTTCATTCTCCCCTGTAATATGCCTTGTCATTTTGTAATGCTTACCTTCAGGTATTAGAATGTCTTTGTGTCACCCTAAGTTTTTAAAATCACTTAAGATCTTGTCTGGAACAGCAAAATACACCTCAGTACCACTTAGCTGTGAATCTTTTGAGGCCAGCAGTCTCAGATTGACTTAGGCAATAAGAGACCTTGGGGAACCTTGCTTCCAAGCAAGCTGGGGCCAAGTCCAACACAGTTTTGAATTATGTAACATGGAAGTGCACAGCTACTGAACTGCTAAAATAGGTTCCTCATTCATGTCACCAGAAACTGGACACAAGTAAAAGACAGCTGATGAAAAGGAAGGATGATAAAATGGATACATTGCAGATATAGGTGCTTTGTAGATAAATGCTGTATGGATATGTCACTCACCTTAGAAAATGTATAAACCTGTTAATAAGCAGTATTTAAATCTCTAAAAAAGGGGCTGAGGTACTTACTCAAACAATTTTATAAGTTCACATAAAGGCTCAATGAAAGCTTCTTGTTCATTCATTTTTTCTGCACACAGGTTAAGAATTTCAGTAATTCGTGCTACATCCTTAAGGGGCTTTTCACGTGAAATTAAGGAAATCAGATCATCTGTACCACTATGAATCAAAAGAAAAAGCTGAAAACTGTGCTCATCACACTTCAAAGACACAGCCAACAAAAAATAAGACCAATGTTTACAAAGTTAGGTGTTTAAAGGAAGTATGTGAGTCAATACTTAAGCAGCTTTATTTTTAAATAAGTACAACTTCTGCAAATCTGATTTAGGTGTCTTCTCAGCTGAACTCACTAGAAGCTCAGTACTAAATTTCTAAAAATGGGGGATGAAAGGCTTTTAGATCACAATGTCAGATTTACCTATCTAAATTCTGAGACAGCCTTGTGATATTTCAATTGTTTTCTCCTCTAGTCCCAAGTGACTAACTGAAATTTGAAAATCTGGACCAAAATACATACTGAGATTATTTAGTTTAACGGTAGAGGTACAAAATCAAAGCTGAACAGAGAACTGAGACTGAGAAGTTGCTACCAATCCACTGACTCACAGAAACTGCTTTTAAGTACACAACTCAGTTGTAATGGGATGCTTTAAATCACTGTGCAATTATCTGAACTGTATGAAATTAATAACATTTTTCCACATGCCAACACCCTCCTTAGTACTTCTCATTATTGGAACATTTCAGTTTGTACTGTACAGATAAATTAATCTGACTTAATTTTTCCTTAAAATGTTTCCTTACTGGAAGTCTATTTTATCTTGCTAGTTTATCTGCTGTTTCTTAAGCAGTGGCAATTATTATGCTTTTCTATTCTGAGTTTAAAGTACACCAGTTACATTTTGGACATTTTCAGCCACTGTGCAGGTGAGAACTCTCTACTGAATTTTATGACAAATGAATCTAATATCCAAGAATCTTGCCAGCTTACCAACCTTGGCAGTGTGCACACAAGGAGGCCAGTGATGAGAATGTATATGATCATCCCTATTCTCCACGGGGAAGCACAGTACAGCATCAAATACTTTACTGAAAAGTCAGACTATTACCATGCATAAAAAACCATGACTTCAGAATTCTAGAGTGGCAAAAAGGATACAAGTCCATTTTCAAAATGCTTGACTACCTTCTTGAGAGTTTTCAGCTGCTCTTTTTCCAAATCTTTCTTAAGTAAAAGAATGAAAAGCAGGTTTTAATTGTAGTTTTTGCCCTAGAACCTTAAATGATTATGTTTATCCCCTTTTAAGTTTAAATGAAAGTGGAAATCAGATTTAAAAGTTTACAAGACACAGCAACATTTCTCAAAGTGCTTTCAAGCATGATTAACTCCATGATGAAGCCTCATTTCTAAGTATGAAGTCTGTTCTCTTGTAACTGAAGAGGCTTTCAAAAACTCCTGTTCGAATGTGTTGACTCTTTCTCTTAAATTCTTTGTGATTTTGTAAAGCAACTAAGAAAACAAAACCTATGTCACACACAACATAAATGTGGAAGCATGTAGATCTAAGTGGCTTAGAGTGCTCTGCATCACTAGGAAACAGCCTTCAAATTGAAAACTGAAAACAACTGAAGTGAGGACATGTTAGGCTGTGTCAGTGATGTGCAGCATTCATTTCAGCTCTCCTGAGCACCTGCAACTTGAGGCAGGCCAGGAAGTTGTTTCAGGAGTCTACAAGCCCAGAATTCTATAGGCATTTTATCATATATATTATGCTCTCTACAGAAGCAGTAAACAATATCATATGGCACTTTTTTCTTCAGTCAGTATGTTTATTCTACAGCTCTGTATTAAAAAAGGGAAGAGGGGAAGATATAACTACTTCTCTGTGGGGCATTAATTTAAAATGTGCTAGATTTAATCAGTTCCTTGTTTAAGAGCATAAATTACCCATATTTTGGATCAAAATTATTTGATGTCTTAGTAAATTTAATCTGCCAAATCACCTCGTGGAGACTAAAAATCATCTGTGAAAGCCCATGAGATGACAATTCTCCTGTGTGCGTAAATAGTTGTAGTTGTTCTTCAACATTGACCTTTGTCTATTTCACCTTCATTTAAATTCATCTTCCTGGAGAACTGTTAGCAGTTAACTTGGGCAATTACATAAATTCATTACATACTTCCAATAAGGTTGTATGTACATCTATTTCCCAGCTATAGGTTTCAGTACTCTAAAATTCTCCAATATGCTAGAAATTCTGCATGTCTAGTTTTTGAGTGCTCATGCTTTATTCTTTTTCAAAGTTCCTGTGTGATCTTCTCTTCCTCTATGCATTTTTTAAAATATAAACCCATAATTGACACTTTTTTTTTCAGTAACAATGATCATTAGAAGCATTCAAATACCAGAAGAAGTACTCATCTTTCTGCTCTGTAGCTCCAGCCTACCTCTGTTGGATATAATAAACCCATCTGAGTTTATTCAGGGCCGGTGCTAAAGTAACTGTATAAAGAAATTGTCAAAACCCCATTACCAACTGTGTAACAGAGACAGTGAGGTACCAGGGTTACTTACTGAGCTCGAATCTTTCAGTATTGCGATGACGTGATTCAAATCCACTGACCTCGACTGCGTATCCTGAAAAAGCAACACTTTTAACCTTTTTTTTTTTTTTTTTTAATTTTGAAATTTTGCTTTTAAGGCGTTTAAAATGTGAAATAGCTGCGTGAAACGAACATGAATTTACTCAGGGTCGGGTAAATTCAAGCCATGTGCGGTGCACACATCAGGGTTGCTCTCAGCCCGAGAAAGACGGCAGGGACAGGGCAGGGGCAGGGCAGGGGCAGGGGCAGGGGCAGGGGCAGGGGCAGGGGCAGGGGCAGGGTAGGGCAGGGCAGGGCAGGGGCAAGGGCAGGGGCAGGGCAGGGACAGGGGCAGGGGCAGGGAAGGGGCAGGGTAGGGGCAGGGCAGGGCAGGGCAGGGGCAGGGGCAGGGCAGGGCAGGGCAGGGCAGGGGCAGGGGAAGGGCAGGGCAGGGCAGGGAAGGGGAAGGGAAGGGGCAGGGCAGGGGCAGGGCAGGGAAGGGGAAGGGAAGGGGCAGGGCAGGGGCAGGGGAAGGGCAGGGGCAGGGGAAGGGGCAGGGGCAGGGGAAGGGGCAGGGCAGGGCAGGGGCAGGGGCAGGGAAGGGGCAGGGGCAGGGCAGAGCAGGGAAGGTGCAGGGCAGGGCAGGGGCAGGGCAGGGCAAGGCAGGGAAGGGGCAGGGAAGGGGCAGGGCAGGGGCAGGGGAAGGGCAGGGGCAGGGGAAAGGCAGGGCAGGGCAGGGAAGGGGAAGGGAAGGGGCAGGGCAGGGGCAGGGGAAGGGCAGGGGCAGGGGAAGGGGCAGGGCAGGGCAGGGGCAGGGGCAGGGAAGGGGCAGGGGCAGGGCAGAGCAGGGAAGGTGCAGGGCAGGGCAGGGGCAGGGCAGGGCAAGGCAGGGGCAGGGCAGGGGCAGGGAAGGGGCAGGGAAGGGGCAGGGTAAGGGGCAGGGCAGGGCAAGGCAGAGGCAGGGCAGGGCAGGGTAGGGCAGGGGAAGGGGCAGGGCAGGGGCAGGGGCAGGGCAGGGAAGGGGCAGGGCAAGGCAGGGGCAGGGGAAGGGGCAGGGCAGGGAAGGGGCAGGGGCAGGGCAGGGCAGGGGCAGAGCAGGGCAGAGCAGGGCAGGGGCAGGGGCAGGGCAGGGCAAGGGCAGGGAAGGGGCAGCGGCAGGGCAGGGCAGGGGAAGGGGCAGGGGCAGGGGCAGGGGCAAGTTGGGGCCAGCACCGGGTCTGGGGGTGCCCCTGCCCGCGGGGGAGCTCACCTGGGCGGTGTCCGGGGCGTTCGTGCGCCTCTCGCCGCCGCCGCGAGAGGAGCCGAGGCCGGGGGAGCGGGAGGCCGCCCGCGGGGCGGGGGCCCAGGCCGCGGCCAGCGAGGCCATGGCGGCTCCGGCGGCGGCGGCGGCGCGGCCGTTGCCATGGGAGCGGCGCCGCGGCCCGGCCCGGCCCGGCCCGCCTGCCGCTGCTGCAGCTCTGCCGCCACCCGGCCAGAACTGTCACTTCGTGGGTTGCTGTCTGTGAACGCGACCTCGGCGAGGAAACCATTTCCACCCGGCGGCTCCCACACGCTGGGCAGCTGGAAGGGAAGAGGCCACCGGGTCCGTAACAAGTAATCATGAAAAAACCCTCCATGAGACATGACAATCCCCAGAGAGCAAAGCGCTGCTTGGGGCAGCCTGGCAGCGAGGAAAAGGGCAAAAGCAACCTTTTCCGTGCATAGGCCAATACAAAAAAACTAATAAAGGCTGGGACAGAAGGGAGAGGGGATGTAGAGATCTACTTGCAAACAGTGAGCAGCTGTTTGAGGTTTAGTTGACAGCTGGGATTCAAGGGCAACGCAGCGTTTGGTGCTCACAGGTACTCTAGAGTGCTCACTTCAGCTGCCAATCCCAGGGCCTGGACACACTTTGGGCAAGTTGCACACATGTCACGTTGGATTGCACATATTGCAAGTCTTTGAGTGCAGGCACTCTTGATGCCAACCTCTGTTTTCATTGACAAATAATGAACTACAGTGGCTCCAAACAAATATTTTAATATGTGAATAAATTTATTAAATGCTAACATAGCTGTTTAAATCTCCAGATAGCTTTTTTATGAACAGAACTGATTAATAACAATCATGAAAGGTAATTTTATGGCTCCAACTGTAACCAACACAGTCCTTATTTTCATTTTTCCCAGCTTGTATGCTACACCCCTCCCATATTTGCCTTCTGCAGAAATAAGGTGCATCTCACATTTAGTACTCACATATGCTATAGACTTCTCTTTCCATCAAAGGGAAAATACCTAATATTGTGTGTTTATACACACACCCATGCACATTCTGACTTAAGTAGTAATTAATAAAAATTTCTAATAATTTTCTGTAATTTTAGACAAAATTATAGCCCAGCATAGTATAGGACTCTGAATTTAGAAAATACTGTGGCCCCTTTGACATCCATGACATCGTGAGCTGCGATCAGGGAACACAGGTCATACAAAGGCATGACCTGTAGCACATTTATAAAGTGCCCTCACATAATGTGACAGTGCAGTTGCCCACCTTGGAGCTGGTGTCCGACACTCTTCATCTGTCCATGTACACACATCTCTCCATTACTATAAACACTTTACTGGCCCTTCCATGTTCTACTTAAATATTTGTTTCTGTGAACATTCTGTTTTGTATCAGGGCTTACACTGGATGGAACAAGATTTTCTATTAAGCATCTGAGATTAATTATGCTGACAATGTTTTTATGTCTTCAGGCATTTAGCTGAAAAAGCTGGATTATATATTTTTCCCTTGGTGCCCAGATAGGAACCGAAGTTTTATGTATTCAAAGTTTTAAAGCTTATATAAAAAAACCTGCTTACATTTATTTCTATTGTAGCCTAAGTGATTTCAAGTTTGGTGGCTCCATGTTTTGAATGACAAATGTATAGAGAATATACCTAAATTGGGCAATTTAGTCTGTAAATTATAAGCTTAAGTCACATGGCACTTGTTGGCTCACTGTTCCAAAGATCATATTGCAAAGCTCCATTTGCTCACTATGCACCTTCTTAAAAATAAAGCTTTTACAATTTAGGATGAAAGCTACATTATGCAAGTTTGACTACAGGGATTCTGCTGCCCTTGGCAAACGGCAAATGCCCATCCTCAAAATCACACAATCAACTGTGATAATATTTATTCAAAAGTTAATAAATCCAAAACTTATATTGTATTTTTATCACATCTACCTCTTCCATTGGTAATGAAAATATTCAAGACTCCAAGGCCTTACTTATGAGAGTACTGAATTTTAAGTCTTACAAATGCTAAGAAATATGTTAGAAACATAGACTTGATGTAAAGAGGATTTCTGCTTTGACTGAGGACTAACTGTTTTGGTGTGAAGACACAGTTCAGCAAGCTATTCTTGAGGTAAAACTTAAATTTCATAAAACCACAGCACTCTTGTGTGTAGGACGCAGCTGCACGTTAGAAGATCATGGTTACATATCTAGGTCTGCCATTAATTTCCTGTTGACTTTGCTGAGTGAATTATTCCCTCTAGCACTCAGAATTCGCTGTTTTAGAAATTAAGTTGCGAGCTTTTAAGGACTATTATTTAGTATATACCTTTCATGTGCTGCAGTGGGGGTCTTCAGCTCTAGTCAAGTGATGTCCTTTTCTTGGCTATATTCAACCTGCAGACTCTGTCCAAAGCTACCTGCACTCTATCAAATATGACATTGAGGGTTTTAAAGTATAGAAATCAGAGCCTTCCTAAGATTCTAAGTCTGTTGACTCTTGACTTCCTTTTCATTCTCCTTTTGTGTTTTTTTTTTTTTTGTCTGTTCTGACAGACCTATGTTTGAAATTCGCAGAATAAAAGGAAAATACCTTTGAAGTGGATGGCAGTAGACTCACACCCATCAAGTCAACAGAGCTTCCAACACCTGTATTTACCTGCCTGTACTACTAAAATACAGTGTTGAGGTCATGGGGTGGTATGGAATTGTGAAAGTATGGAACTTTCACACTGATCTTTATTATTGTAAGAAAACACAATAAATCACAGGACACAGAATTTATACTCTTGTACAGTATAAGAGTTGTAGTACTGGAGAAAAGTGTATGTTTGGGGCCCCAGCTGCTGGCATAGTATCAACATTCAGTAGAACAAGCACTGAGATACAGAAAAATGGAGATATTAAAAACATAAAAGCCAAGAAAAGAAAAACTTCAAGGTCCAAAATATTACTGTTAGTTTAGGAATGGCACAAACCAATATTAAATGTTCTGAATTTTAAAAATACCTATATTCCATTTGGGAGTCTGGGCAGGCTATGCAAGCTAATGTGAAAGCAATGCAAATGCTGCTAGCTCCACTGACCCATGCATCTTTACTTCTCTGCACTCAGAACAGTTGATGCAGCTGATCGACAGTTAAGCAGCATTATACCTCTCATGTATTGCTTTCCTCTTGTGCTGGCATAAGCCTCTTAGGAAAAAGGTTATGTATTTCCAAAAGAAGGACTGCAAAGCGCTTCACCTGTTTGTTTCATTTGAAGAGTAATTGTATTTCATGCACACAGCAGGACACTTGGCAGACATAATGGTGCCTAGCAATCTCATCATGGCCAAAATTTTTGTTGAATGAAACGTGGACTGAAATATGCTGGTAGTACTGTAGTGTTCACTTGTGTTCTGAAAGCCTGGAGAATATCTTCGAGTAGGATAAGGGATATAGCTATCCAGTGTGTCTGTGTGAAAAAGCTGTAATCTGTAATCCAGACATTGAAAAAGAAATAAATTGCCCTTAGAATATTTTTATGAACTCACATTCAAGTTTTGTCTTGCAGAGACAATGCTGATCAGAGCACCCATGAATTAGAAAGAAACACAAGCTAAAATTTATTCTGCATAAGCACAGAAGAAAAGGCAAAATACCTTACATTGGTTTTTTATTGATTTTTGTGTAAAACACAGTATATGGAAAAATAGGTAAGAGCATTGTTAATAATTTATAATAGCCCTGTTCAGAGAGACAGCACAAACAGTCTCACAAACACAACTACAAAGAGAATATTACACATGGGAGACATATTATGCTTACTGTAAGACATTGCCAACAAGGCATGAGAAACAATATATGACAATATATAATTGCTCAAGTCAGTTAAATGTGTCACTTATTTTAAAGGCTGTAATCTAATTAATTCAAGCAGTATCATATGGTGATACAATATCAGTACTGCAACATTATTCATTATATTGATAGGAAATACTACAGGGTGAACAGCCAAGAAATCAAAACCTTGTGTATTTGGAGATGCACAGTCTGCAAGGAACTACGCATATGCATTCATTACCACTGCATATGTGAAAATATTACACTGAAAATTTCAATATATCTAATTTTTATGCACCTGATGTATCTAACTTTCAGAGGAAAGCTGTTTCCTAACTGTATTCATACCTGTGAAATTTATTGCCACTGGAGAACTCATTGTCTTACATTAATTAACTATTTCCTTTAATGCCAGTTGGGCAGCTAATACCATACAGACTTAAACGCAGACACACTATTTTATAGGCAATTAATGCCAAATGAAAATATTCTTGGTAAATCACATAATTCACAATGTTGGAACAAAAAAATTATATGTGGCAACAATTCACAGTAACCATTACCACAAGCTAAAGAACTTGCAAAACAATTACAAAATAATTAATCTCTAAATAACTAAAAAACTTGAAATAATTCAAGAACGCGCACTTAATCAACCTGTACATAGTTGCAACAGTTAATAGAGTTTTAAGATAAAATTAAAGACACATGGAACCTATGATAGAACTCTATTTTAGACAGTGTTAAGAAAGACCACCTTAATATCCATGGAAAACAAATAACCTGTTGCTTAATACATAGAAGTCTCCTTTTTATAATACATGTACAATTCTGTATCACATACCAAGCACTATTTTTTTAACTGTACAATAATTAAGAGAAATTAGGCTTATTTCCTTATGTATTTTCATTAGGCAGTAAAGCAATTTATATAAAGCTACACAAAAATAATTTTATAGTAGGCTATTCCTCAAAATATGTATTTATTCTTCTAAGTAACTAAGATGTCTAAATGAATTTAGTTGTTTATATTTAGGCAATCTAAACTAAACAGTTAGCCTCAGGTATTTTTCCAATGAGAGTGCTATGGTGAGTTTATAGAAATCGGTGTGTTTGGTTACATGAATAAAGATCCCATAAGGGATGAAACATATGCTGAATATAAAGTTTGCCTTCAGGCTTAACAGTGTCTTGTTAGAATGAACTGGTCCTTAAAGAACACTACAAAATATTAAATAACAAGTCAACATGCTATTCCAGTTAGAAGTAAATACATGGCCTAACAGGAAACAATATGTCATTTTTGTAGCACAAATATTTCACAAAATGCCTTCATATAGTTCATCTAAAAATACTGTCTATTTATTAATACGTCAATATTTCAACCTTTAAAGTAACATATAAAATTAAAACACAATTTTAATTTTCTACACACAACTTGAAAATAGGAATGACTCATCATTACTGAAATTTAGCAGTTTAATAATTGTAGAAGAAATTTAATGATGAAGTAATTTTTTGCATAGGAAAGAGGGCCAATACATTTCTGCATATACTGTCAGTGGATGCATTACAATACAATATCTATGGACTTTGACAGTAATTTTCAGTTAGTACAATATCACAGTTCTGCAACATTATCGCTATTGCATCAAAATAATTAAATAATTGTAGGGAACATGAATGTTAATTACATATTCTACAGAAATGTAAAATTACCACAAAATAACAGCAGCATATTTAATTTTTAAATGTAGTCAGACTGTCAACAGTAATACTTTCTGAAATCTGTTCAGAGGTATGAAATTCTACTCTCAGTTATACCAGCCCATTCTAGTGATTTTAATTAGGTTTCATGTGCAGGACTGGGGTAGAAAACAGAGTGGTATTTATCCCATTAAAATTATCCAAGATTTGATATGTTCTAAGATTTTAAAAGTTGATTTTATTTAAAGGAATGAAGCACAATGCTTCAACCTTGTGTGGTTTCACTCTGCAATAATGAAATAGAAAACAGTCCAGGACATGCAATTCTTTTTAAGAAATAAACACCTTTTGGAATGCCATTACAGACAAAGTTAAGTTAGAAGTCGCAATTGTTACTTATTCTTCATTTTTATGTGAAAATCTAATTTTTACTAGTTTAGGCTCCTGTCTGTCTCCAGCAACAACAGAATTTTCAGTTAATGTCTAAAATGTTTGATACAAGAGTAGTGTACTTGTATATCACCACCAGTATCACTGAAATAGCTGCATATTGGAGGAGGAACAATAAAATAAATACCCTGAAACAAACTTAATTGGTTTTGGAAAAAAAAGAAAGAATGCAAACATTTATTTATTTATTTAATAGATTTATCAAACCTTTTACTTCTTTATTTTTCTATTAAAATATATGAAAGCTTCTAACTTCTAAAGTATTTGATAAATTTTTGGAGAACATAGCTATTAAATGCAGTAATCCAGAGGAAGCATCTGTCTCAAATCCAAAATTATTGATTTCCAAGAGGCTGAGAAGCTGTGTTTGGGAAAAAATCACCAGACATCTGCTTTGTTTTTGGAAGCATCTATTACTTATCAGCTATTGAAACAAGTCTCAAAGACCTCAGCCTGACCAATTATAGCTATTATTATGATTTATTTTTCCAAAAATGGAGAAATAAAATTATTTTCCTTCCAATTGACTCCTCACCAAGGCTTAAAAAGGAGGATAAATCTGAGCTTTCCAACTACTTGAAATTGAAAATTTGTGAACTAAAATGATATCTGTTGACCCACATAACATAGTTGTTTTTTTTCAAAAAATGTATTCACAGACCTCCATTTTCAAGAATCCATTGGACTCCCATTCAGTACAAAACATGTCTAAAGACATATAAAAATGCTTTAATTCAGAAAAAAACATCATGCAAGTATTTTATTTTTAATCTCTAGATTTGAACATCCTTAAAATGAAAGGAAGTTCAACTGTCTCTCATTTTGTAACAAACCCAGAATATACATAGGCTTGAAGTGTAAGTTTGGGGAATTTGGATACTAGAATAAAAAAATTGTTGTAGATATTTTGTATTTTTAATTAAATTAAGAAAAACTAACATGAATTCTTTAGGCTTAGGTTGGCATAACTGGGGCAGAATTTGATTTCAGAATCTTCTTTGTCTGTGAAGCTGCTTGTTTTATTACAAGCAGAAATAATGAGATTTACAGGACCAGTGATGTTTAAGGATAAACTCAAGCTTAATTCTGTGTATTTCTGATGCAAGATAGGAGAAATTCTTACAAAGCAATAAATAATAAGAGAAGGTTCAGCTAAGAAAATTAGAGATTTTAAACAGTGCAAATGTAGATTAAAAAAAAAAATTTAATATAAGAAAATTAGGACCAAATAAACAATCTGATTCACTGAAATAGAAATTTTGCTAATTAAGCAGTAGCAGCCTGAAGGTATGAGTTGGGTTTGGTTGTTTTATTAGAGAAGAATAATTACTACTGACACAGCAGTAGTAAGAAATAATTGTGAACATTATGTAGAATCCAACAGGAAATGCATATGTCAAGGTTTAGCCATTTAAGTAAAAGAATAATAATTTGGTTTCTCAAAATTTCAGGCATATCCCAGAGACACTTGTAAAAGTCAGACCTTTATATAAAAATAGAAGATTGGATTTGCACAAAAAGATACTAAGAATTTAAGACACATCTTCGGAAATTCATATATATAATAAATGAAACTCCAGTGTAGACACATACAGAACATGAGTATTGTGATGCTTCCAATATAGTGGAAGTTTCACAGTGAAAATGGATTTTTATTGTTGCTGAATTCTCAGCTTTTCTTTTTGTTTTAAAATTATTTCCTCATATTTTAAAATCATTAAAAAATCAAAAACTAGTTTACACACATATCTTTCTATAAATGTATAGCATTGTTTTAAATCTTCATTATATATGTATGGAAATAAACAGATGCCAAAGGTCTCAAATCCTACTTAATACTTTGAAAAAAAAAAAAGACGGTTTAGTACAGTAATACGCTTTGCTTACAAGATGTACAGTCACACCATAATTAAGACTGGGTTTGCATATTCAAATCATGGAATGGTGTAAAACCACACACAAATACTGTACATGTGCAATACACTTGACCAAGTGCAAGGTGCTGCACCTGGGCTGGGGTAACCCCCAGTGTCAGCACAGGCTGGGGATGAAGGATTGAGAGCAGCCCTGCCCAGGAGGACCTGGGGGTGCTGGTGGGTGAGAGGCTGGACATGACCCAGCCATGGGCACTCCCAGCCCAGAGAGCCAAATGTGTCCTGGGCTGCACCGAAAGCAGCGTGGGCAGCAGGGCAGGGAGGTTTTGTCCCCCTGCTCTGCTCTGGTGAGAGAGACCCCACCTGGAACATGGCACCCAGCTCTGGGGTCCCAGCACAGGAAGGACATGGATGGGCTGGAGAGAGTCCAGAGCAGGGCCACTGAGATGATCAGAGGGCTGGGGAGCCTCTCCTGTGAGGAATGATGGAGAGAACTGAGTTTGTGCAGCCTGGAGGGAATGGCTTAGGGGTGACATAATTGCAGCTTTCCAGTACCTGAAGGGAGCCTGCAAGAGAGCTGGAGAGGGCAATGGCATGTAGTGACAGGACAAGGGAGAACGGCCATAAACTAAATGAGAGTTGGTTTAGATTGGGTATTAGGAGGAAGTTCTTTACTGTGAGAGTAGTGAGGCACAAGCACAGGTTGCCCAGAGAAGCTGTGGCTGCACCATCCCTGGAAGTGTTCAAGGCCAGGTTGGATGGGACTTAGAACAACTTGGTCTAGTGAAGGTTGTCAAAGCCTATGACAGGGGCATTGGAACTTACTGGTCTTTAAGGTCCCTTCCAACTCAAAGCATTCTGTCATTCTGTAATCATTACAAATTAATTTGTTTCAAACCCTGGTTATTTCCTAAATAATTTACTTTACATTCTGAAACCATTAACCCAGAAATGTGGTTTTAATAGAAGAAACACTGCCCAGAAAATGTCATATTAATAAGCAGCACTCTGACACATATGATCTAAGGCAAAAAAATATCTGTAAAGCCTGGTTCTAATAAAATATTATTGTGATATAACTGTGCAAAGGAACATAATTTTTTTTTAATTTCATAATCATCTGCCCTCTGTAATCCAAAACAAAAATATATTTGTATTTATCAGAAGTAGTCTTCTAGTTATAAACATGTCAGTTTGGTTAAGAGCTTGTACTATATGTCAAGCAAGAGACCTTACAAAGACTCCTACTTAACTAAACTCCTAAAAATGCAAGTTTATGACACAAAAAAAAACCCAAAGCCCAAACATGTACAACTGTGTTAACAAATATCATCACATTACAGTTATTGTTTCTGGAGAGAGATGTGGAACTGACCCACTTACTTCTTCTATAACATGGCTCTTCTCCCATCCTCTTCGAATTCTCCTCAGTTTCCTACTTACACATGGCAAAAGTAAGATGATCTTACCTAGAATTACAATGGAAGGCAGAACAAGGGCAAGAACAAAATTTGGTGGTGTGTAAAATCTGTAATACTCTTCTTCAAAAGCTCTCTTCCATCCATAAATCAGTACATGGAAAGTACTTATAAGTAGAGCAATGTATCCAAGTGTAGACTGTGAAGAAAGAGAAAACAGGAAAAAAGAGGATATAATAGCACTTGGTCCTTCATCTGACAGCTCTAATACATTATTTGGATTATTTTAACATTTCTAGTAGACCTCAAGTTAAAATCTCTTACCTATTCACTACATTAAGTAAGCAATATATGGTTTTAAGTTACCAGTCTGTACTGAGCACTGATTTACAGAGTATCTCTGCTAACATCTACAGGCCTTAGTCAAAGCTGAAATTATGTCTGCCCAAATTCTAAGTAATGGAAGCCAACTTCAGGATAGGTATGCCAGTAAGAAACAATTCCTGAGTAGTTACTAGAACAACATCCATTGTGATTGGAAATTAAGTTTCCTATTTCTTAACTATGAGGATAGATCCTTATTATGGAACAATGCAATTCTGTTGGAAGAGATTTGGACCTAAACTTGCATATTTTTATCACTTTGAGATGCACAGCTTACTTCTGCCTCACAAAGGCCTACATCCACTTGTCTGATGTTAGCATAAACCATCCCTTACCTTCTCCATCAGTTGTTGATGACTGGTTAATGGGAATACCTGAACTGCAGGGCTTGGGCATAACAGCACAAAGCAGTGCTGCAGTTCACCATAAACCAGCAGTGCTGGATAAAAGGTGCCTGCAGAGAAAGGACCTCTCAGCACATAAATCTAGAGCTTGCCCAAAAAGGTGGTGATAACAGGGGTCACTCACCAGTTTTAAAAACGGACCCTGCAGCTGTAATGCTTTGCAGATTTGACAATGCATCAATTTAACTTTCCCAAACCATGACAAAAGAAGACTACTATGCTTTGGCTTCTGGTGATGATCAAATGAAGAAAAACGCTTTCTGGCCAAAAGTGGTGTAATGACTAACTGGCTGGGAAACATTTGTATAAAATCATTGGAACAGGGAATGAGCATTAAGAAAGGTAACTGGCTACCGAGGTATGGTCTAATTCCAGCAAACAGAGAAGCAAAGAAAAATGCAGCCTAAGGGTCTATAATAGGTAGTGAAAGAAGTAATCCCTTCTACTTCAAGATTAAGCAGCTTCTTAAGCAAGAAGAATGTCTTAGCTAATACTATTTGCAAGTTCACAGGTATAATGGTATAAAAGGAAAGTATTTATTTTAATTTCTTGGGATTGCTACTCTGTTTTCTGACTTTCCAATATTTATGTATCATTTTTGCCAATGGTTTCAGGGCCATTTTGTTAATTTTTAGGTATGTTTCATACTTTTTCTTAAAAAAAATAATTTGTTCCCAAAATATCCCATAGTAAACAGAACATTTAGACAAACACTTGAATATATGAAAATGGCCTATGTGGTATCTGAACAGAACTTCTGGGAAGAAATTTGGACAGCAAACAATACGATCAAACCTGAAGTTTTAATATGTTGTTGCAGATTTTTGTTGGTATGACTGTCCTGAATTCATTGTTATATTACTGCCAGCAGGGAGAAGGGCACAAGTGAATCATATCCCTCATTGCTTCATCAGGATTACTGATGAGAAATATAACAATATAACAATTCTTGAAAAAAGAAACAGGAGGGAAATATTATACGTTAATTTCCAGTTATTTTATTTTAGTGCTTATTTTACTTCCATTTGCAAGCTGTAGTTTTGAGACATCTATATATGTTTATCTAATGGTCAAAATGGAAACTAAGTACATCCAGTATATTTTAAACTAACAACAAAAGGACAAGAAAAACATATGATGCATTTTAATTAAGCTTTTTTTTTTCCCCCCTGTGAAGAGTTGCCATATGCTTCTCTGAAGTGTTGGTAGAGCACGTGCTAGTGTGTACTACACAACTTCAACCACACATCTAAAAAACCAACAAAGATATTGCTATAGCTTCTGTCAGCTACTAATGCTATGTTCTTCAAATGGGCCCTTAATTACCAGTACCAGGCTTCAGATGATAATTCCTTTAGAAGCAGAGGACTTCTGAAAGCAGCAAGAAGAAATGCTGTTTCTTCACTGGTGAATTTACATTGAACAGTGCAGTAAGCAGCAGAATCAGTTGGAAATCCTGGCAACCCTGTGCCTGGGCTTTAGAATGGCTGCCGGGAAAAGTGGAAGAGTATCTTTGGCTGTTTTGTTTTCTTATCTTCCATAATACTGTATTTCCTGAAAGCTGAGTAATAGATTAGCACATTTCCTACGGACTCACAAATCTTTTAGCTTTTCTCTAAGTCCTCCCTGTTTTGTTTCTTTTCCTTCCTGATCAAAGTCAGCTTTCAGTCAATATGGGAGATTTCCAGCCAAGACTACTGATAAATTGGACAAACTGGTATTGTTTGAGAAAGGAACCAACAAAACTTAATGGAGCAGGAAAGATGAAAGAGAAAAACCCCTAAAATGTTACCAGCAACATGTACGTATTTAGAGACAAAACTGTGCTGTGGGGCAAATCTGCTTCAGGAATTTCTACATTCACAATGGTCAAGTAGTTCCAAGCAATTTACATATACAAAAGATATTTTCTAAATTCACTATTTATGTAAGATATACTTCAGATTCTCTGTGTAACAGTCTATTGCTAAACTTAAAAACTTTGTAGTAACTTCTGACTGGAATCTTACCCATCAACTTGCTAAATACTCGGGCTTCAGTCTACCTTACTCTGGGGGAAAAGTACCCTATTCTTGTGGGAGAACTAAGGCAGTCTTTCCTCAAAGTGTATGCATGAGAAATGTTCTACTCACACTGCCTCCATAAAACCTTAGGATTGGGCTAGTAGAGAAAAGGAGTATCTCCAAAAAGTCAGCTTCCTACCACTCAAGTAGCAGATTTGTGTTGTTTTTTGCTAAAACCTATGAAGCTCAGCTTTCAAAACCAGTCTGCTCTGTCCAGTGCCACTTTAAATGATGGGGTTTGGACTTGAAGTCTCAGACTGGAAAACAAAAGTAGCAGTCATTTATGTTTACATTATATATTTACAGTTTAACTTTGCTCGCTAGACTGAAGGAACCAGAGCAGGATAGCTTGCAGACAACACTCTCCATTTCCTTGTATTTTATGTCAATAGTCAAGGGCACGTTTCAATAGATGACTTTTTTTCTGTTTATAGTGTGTTGGTTTAAGCTGTTAATTCTGCCTGCTCTGACAAAATATGAATTCTTTTGTATTTCTTGCCTATGTCTTCCTTTGCTCCTTGTCCAAATATATTTAGATGAGAAAAAGAACAATACTGAAGTGGCATTTAAGAAAACCAATGCATTAGTTTATCAGCCCCAGCTTTCTTCCCTGCTGCTTTTCTCAGTAAACTTCAGCTCTGGGTCACATTAATGTGACTGCAAAGTTTCACACTAGGTTTCAGTCATCTAGGAACTCCTACTGAGAAAACTCTTCATGACTGTCTTATTCTGTGGTTCCTCTATCTGGATGTTACAAGTGTTTCTCTCCAAATCATGATTAAGTAATCTACCCTTGGTTTTGTACAGTGGTCAACTCAACAATTATTGTAGCAATTCCTCTTTTCTGCTAGTCTCTTAGCTCCTTCTAGGACAGACACAGTAATTTCCTTTTGCACTACTAAACCTTCTCACATCTCACTTTGTTCATATGCATACTATGAGTGAAGCCTGCACTACTTGTCCTGTCAAAGTCCTTTTCCCTTGATGAAGCAGGCTGGAATTTCTGGTGCTGCTGACACCTGTGTTTGAAACCAGGCTAGGTAAGATGGAGGCATCTTCAAAATAATTTGGGATATCAAAGTCAGCAATTACTTCTGTGCAAAACTATTGACAACTGGTGTTTCTTTAGAGTATTAGGAAGACTGTGGTTGAAGACTCTTTGAACTGCTGTAGGTTGGTGAGATGCTGCTTAGGGCTTGTTCTACTAGAACAAGGCTAGTCTGTACTGTACATTATAATAAACTCAGATTTTCCTAGTAGGACTCAAGACTGAGTATGTTCTAGTGGTAAAACTATTTAGAAGAGGCCACACCCTTATTCTGATGAAACTGCATTTACTAAGATGAGCAAGCAAGGATGTGTTGTTCTCAGTGGGAAGTGCTGAGCTGGGACACTGAGCGAGCTGACCAACTGATTCTTCCTCTGTCAGATGTGAAACAAGTCCAGCAGCTGTTGTGGCAAATCATCTGAGATTCAGGACTAGCTCTTCCCAGCTGCTTTTCCCAACTGAAAATAACAGCAGCAATGGTACAATAGGTTAGAAGTTCTGCTGTTTATCCCCATTATATAGAAGAGATTAAGAAATTTAAGTTTACTCTTCCTTCACTGAGCTGAACTTCAGTAGAAGAAAAACATAAAAGAGACTAAGTATTATCATGTTTTATCTGTTCTGTTTGCATACTAGGGACAGTGAAACATACAGAAATACAGACTCCTTTTACTCCAGTAAGCAATCACTGAAATTCTGTTTTCTGATTGAAGAAAGGAAGATTTTTTTTTTTTTGACAAGTAACTAAATGAAGAATAACTTACATCCTGAGAATTAATGACAAAGTAAATACTCATGAACTTTACGGAATTTTTTAGTAGTTCAATACTTTTGTGATTAAGAATAGCAAGTGATCATAGTTCATTACCAATGTAGTTATATTCTGTGAATAATATAGCATGAGCTGTAACATACATCCAGAACAAATAACTCATTCCCAAAAAGGTTCCTCAAAATACTGATAGATGGATCATTAAAGTTCATAATTATTTAGATTTGGAACTATTTTGAATTAATTAACAGTGGAAATAACTGCAGTAAATATGCAGCTGTAAATACATCATTGTGATTATTGTGTGGGTTTTCACTCAGTCACACAAGCCTGAAATTTCAAAATATAAGTAAGACAAAAATGCTGTGTTTGTGGCTGGAAGTTACTAATGGATAAAGGCATCATATCACTCACAAGGGAATACATATTTTTTTCCCTTTTGCACTAATGTTTTATATCACCCAACAGCAGTACTATTGTCCTCATATAGTGAACTCCAGATGGCAGGGATGCTATAACAATACACTTGAGTATTTATTCTCTCTGAAGGCTCAAAGCCATGACCGTGAATAAACAGTTCTATCAGGGTAACTCCACTTTGAAAAACTTTTCAGCAAACTTTTTGTAGGTCCATCTGTAGTTTTCCAGTAATGGACATCAGAAGGAAAAGAGAAGACATTATAGACAGACCTCAAACAACTACAGCCTTTGAAGTGTTTCCCACCACTCTCTTTAAAATGTCTGTAAATTATGAAGCACAACCCAAGCCCTGAAATTTAAAGTCAGTGCCCATATTCTGAAGTGAACAGGACTCAGAATTAGGCAATATTATTAGGCTAAACTTAAAAAAATGTTAATCAGAAAAGACTGAGCTAAGACTACAGTACTAAAGCCAAAGTCAGAAAACAAAACATAACAAAACCTAAAACTGTGCACACTCAGGAATTTTCACTCGACTGAATCCTAGTAAAATTTCTTACACCTGATTGCTACCTAGAACTACTGGCAGTTACGTGTAGGAGCAAGCATTGAGCTGTTCACTAAAGCCTGTGTTTCTCAGTATTTTGTACTGGTTAGATTTGCACGTTCTAGGTATTTAACTGAGGAAGGAAGCCAGCAGATGGTGTGCCAGGGCCTTGAAAAGCCTCTGACTTTAGTAAGCAAAGCTCCATATTTTACTAGTGGGTATTGTCAGCTAATGGGAATAATGCAGTTGAAAGCTGTGTCAAGTCTCACAGTAGATGAGAAGTAAAACTTAACCAATGGCACCATGGCTATCAGAGGGTTGTGCAATAAAAATCTTGCAGGACAAATTAAGTCTTCCATTTTAACAGCTGTGTGCATCTATCTATACAAGCATCACTGCATTTAGCAGGTGTGTCCAAATGTACCTAATTTGAATTTAGTGAGTTCTAAGAACAGAGATGGGATCGATTAGTTATCATTTGGTTTTAGCTATGTTGGTTATTTAAGATCAAATGTAAAATAAAAAAGTCCTGTTCTACACTCATGAAATGCTTAATGTGCCTGCTAAGTTATCATTGTTTTGATTGAATTACCAGAGACAGAGGGAAAAAAGGCTCTTGTCACATTGAAATGAGCTTTTGTTTATGATGTTGATCATGACTGTGATCCAGGAATTCTTGTTAACACCAAAACCCCCTTATTAAAAAAGTAACACACCTGAATAAAACTGAACTCCCTCCAGTTTAAGGCACTGTTTACTGAAGGGATGGAAGTTACTGCCAGCAAAGAAAGCAATCCAAGACTCATTATTCCAAAGGAGATATACATTTCAATTCTCCACACTTCTTCCTCATTCCAAGAATTTTCAACATTTGCATGAACCTGATGAAAGAGTAGAAAGGATGAACTTTATTCTAAAGAATATTAAAAATACCAACAGAAGTTATTTTGCTGACTTAAAGTTCACAGTCACAGGACAAATATAAAATGTGGTCAAATATTTCAGAGGTTTCCTAATGCCTTGGAGAAAAACAGCTATTTCCTTGCTGCTGGTAATGGCTCTTGCTGGATTAAAATACGTTAAACATGGAAATTTAGATGAGATGCTAAAAGAAAATGTTACATTATATACCATTTACAACAATACTGTTATAAAATCAGGTAATTCTGCACATTCTTAAACACTGTAGAACAGAAGCTGTGTTCTTCAGACTCTGCAAACCTCAACTCTGTAACATAAGCTGGATAAACCTGAAATTTCTTTTTGGTTTAGAAATTAGATTTTAAAATTTTAAGTTACATTTAGAAATAGCTCAGCATCATTTCTTTCAGCTTTTCTATGCTGAGTCCACGCTTGCTTCTCTCTTTCACTATTGACATCAGATTTTTCCAAGATGGTTCTCACTGGAGAGCTTTACCAGGAAAAAGAAACAATTCAGGACCTTAACAACTAAGACTTAAATATTCAATTATTTTTTCCACTTCCAGGTTAACTTCTGCAATGTGATGTGTCTTGAAAAAGGTGTACCAGAAATATTAGCAAGTGAGAGTTTTATAGTATCATTAAAACTAAGATAATTTCTTAGTAGAAGTACCAGTGAATTAGTATTAATTTTAAGTGTGAATTATGGTTTCTTGCTGTCTGTTATAATTTTGCCCTTCCTTTCTCTTAAGTTCAGTTTTTGATGCTAGTTGTGATACTCCCTGTAAATTTGTTACATTCAATTTTATTTCCTTATTTGGTTTTCCTTTCTGTTCTATCACTTCTCTCTTTCCTACAGATTTTACATGGTGAATGGCAATGCTGGCTTTCTGGCAATGCTGCTTTTCTGCCACTTTAAAGGTTACAATAAGCTGTCTCTCTGACAGACAGCAGCATCAGACCCTCTTCTAGAGATTTGTCAGAGAATGTTTCAGGGTTATGCAAGATCAATTGTTCCTGGAAACTATGAGTCAATTTCTATTGCCTGCAATAGAGGATGTCCACAGAAATTTAAAAGAATAGAGTATTTTTAGCATTGGTCCAAAATGTAACAAAATAACAGCATCTTCTTTTTTTCCTTTTTGTAACATAGAAGCATCCGTAAGCATGATTACAGTACCTTGTACTTTTCATATTTGTAAATGCACTTATGATACATATACTTCCCCCATGTCTTAAGTATACATAGAAAGCAACATACCTCAAAATCTTCCTGCTGTTGCTCTTATCCTGTCTATCCTACATTCTTCTTGTGTTTATTGCTATCAGGAATTTCAGTAGGACATGTCCTTGATTCTCCCTATCACACAAACTTGACTGCAGATTGACCCACAAGGTGAGCAAAATGCACAGACATTTCTTTTAGTCTCCTTAACTGGCACCACCTAGGCATAAGATAACCCATAACTTTTGTGCCAAAAGAAGCAGAACAGATTAAGAAAAACCCAGTTATTGTGTTCAGGAGCCATATGCACCCAGTGAAGGCACTTTTGGCTTACTGAACTAAAGACTCTTACCTGTTGATATGCCATGTTGAGGAACAAGTACCTCTCTGATCTCCTCATAGGCAAGCAGAGGCTGTACACCACGTGCACTGCTGCAAAGAAAAAACTGAGCAGTCCAAGCTGCTTTCGACACTGAAGCCAGTTGTCCAGCCAAGGAGGAAATCGCCGGTACTTAGTGCCATAGTGAAGCTGATAAGCAGCTGCAATAAGTCCTGATAAATATACCAGAGAAAGCAAAGTGATAGCAACAATTGGCAGAGTCTTGTTCACAATCTCAATGGGAATCTTGTAAAAGTCACTCTGCTGATTTCTCATGTATGGATGGATGACATCTCTGACAAAGGAATAGATGAAGAAAAATGTTGCCAGGCTAATGGCAATCAGTACAGGCCCCTTCCACAGGGTGAACAGTCGCAGAGGCAGGTTTTCAATCTCCCTTGAAGATGACAATGCCCCCAAATCAATAGGAATGAAACTGAGCTGACGGGCAAGTTCAATAACTTGATGGCGAGCCTGAACATTGTTACTGCATATATAGACCTGTTGGGAGAGTCAAGGGAATTGTCTGTAGTCAGAGAAAAAGACTCAAAGGTAAACAAAAACCAGCAAAATCCACCAAAAACCTTAAGGGCTTCAAAATCAAAACTACAACACAACTGCTAAAACTGTACACTTTATCACAGCTTATATTGCCAACATGACAATAAAATCACATAAAAATCTAGCCAAAGTGCAGATATGCACATTGATTTAGCAACAGAGTAATCAAAACAAAATTGGCTTTTTCTTGGATTTAATAATGGGGAATGTCTTGGTAATCTGTACACTGAAACCTATCGTACCAAAATGTCTGCAGGACTGGACTAACTTGAAGCTACAGCTAAAAGCATGTCAAAAAAAACAAAATCTCTCAAAAAGACAGGAATCTTGAACAACAACCCTTAAACAACTATAGCATACACAGACAGAGAAGCAGCAAACTGTGTAATCTCTCCATGGCTAACAGTTCTAGCCTTATTTCATAACCCAAATTTCCCCAGATTTCAGATTTGAGTATTTAACAGAAAAGACAAAAACTAGCAGCCAATAAGAACTTGTTCTAAAGGCACTTATTGCACAGTGAAAGAAGTGTACTGCTACAAAGTACTTCCAAGGTTCCATTAAAATTTACAATGGACTATAGTTTGCTCAACACTATTTGCTGATCATCTGCACTGAAGCAAATATGATCACTTTTGACTGAAATGAATTAGTGTTGTGCTATTCTGAAAGGGGATAAAAGAAGTATGGTGAAGTTATGTTTTAGATTACACTAATTCCATATCAATTACATTCCATTTAAATCTTCCTGAAGTGCCAGAAAACTGAATTTGGTCTCCAGCAGTCATGTTGCATCACTTATTTCTTATGTATTTCTCAGATTTCATAAAGCTGTGAAGGACTGGATGCTTGTACAGGCTTAAATCCTTTACATCACTTCAGCAAAACATGAAAAACATAAAGGGGTGTTTTCTATATGCAGGATGGATTTCAGAACATACTAGGAAGGAATTTGAACATGATGTTCCCAAGCAGCCCTGGATCAAATGAATGATCACGCAGAAACATATGTGCCGCCTTCTGTTCCCTCATATTTATGATTTTGGGGCACTCTAAAAGCTAGATTATTTCTTTCAATCACTTTGCTCCTACACGGAATGCAAGCATTTGTAGAACAGCTGATTCTCAACCTCTGAGACTGGGACCTGAGATTTGTGTGCATCTCTTTCAATAGTTCACTCCAACACTGCCACTAAAACACACTGGAAAAGACTGTCTCATCCCTTGTATAAAGCATCAGGAAACACATGAACGTATTTCCTATGGAAAACATTGAGACTCAACTCTTCTCCTCTGTCTGCTGTCACCAAAAGGTCAGTTATTTAAGATAGTATCCACATTTCCTCTGCAGTCTTTAAAGACAACAGGCAATGCAGGGGAAAAAACTGGACCATTTACTTTATTTGTCTTACAAGGGGATGAACTAAACTCTAAAGGTTTTATTGGCTACTAAAATGTAAGCTGAAGGTCCAACATTTTAGGCATGTTAAGTCAGGGAATGTAAATCTCATGAGTTCTGGTTGTTACATTCAGCTCCTGTCATTTTCATTTACAGATAAATTAAATTCATACAAATAAAAACATTTACCTGTCTGCTGGCATCCTTTGGTCCTAACTGTAGTGACCATGCTGAAATGACATTGAATCCTTTGACAATTAGGGAATCGGGAAAAAGTGATGCCAAATACTCTGCATTGGAGTCTGGATATTGATCTACTCTTGTATTATTGCTGACATCAATCAGAATTTTACCAGCAAGTAAATGTTTGAGATCCCACAAAGAGGTGTAATGTTCTCTGTGTATGGCTACAAAAATTATGTTTGTTTTAGCTACTGCATCTTCATGGTGAGTGACATCAACCACATGGGGAAAGAAGTCAGCAGCGTGTTTAGGGTTTCTGCTCCCTACGACCACGTGGTACCCACATCTGATAAGTCTGATTGTCAATGACTTAGCGAAGTCTCCACTTCCAATGATGCCTATCGTGACCTTGCTGGCATCCTTGAGTATGCCATTGGCAGCATTTGGCAAGAAAGTTTCATTGAGGTTCTTGGGACTCCCCATCATAGAGATTGATTCCATTCTTCCAAGACACCAAACCTACAATGATTTCTGTAGGGAAAAAAAAAGGAAAGAGAAGAAAAGAAAAAAGAAAAAAACAAAAGAAGGAAAAAACAGCATTATACAATTTTATGAGACCTCTAAATTCATCAACACCTCTGGAAGCAAAATCTTTGGTTCTAAGTTTCATACTACATTTTCTCCTTAATCAATATGTCACCAATAGAAGGAGAAACAAGAAGCATAAAGTACTTTAGCACTTCAATAATGAAGTTACTTAAGTAAAATCCATTTTCTTCATCTTCTATTTCTTAACTTCCACTGCCCTGGATTACTGGCCCGCAGGATAACTTGGTATTCCTGAAACTAATGGAAACATGTAAAGAAAATTGGAAAATAGTAGAGAGCACTGGCCTGTGATCAGCATGAGATCAGTGAGTACATGGAAGCTGAATTCCATTAAAAGTTTATGCAGGTTATTATTGTGATATCCTCTCCTGGCCATGAAGTAGGAGATGCAAAAGTCTCAAAGATGCACATGTCTTGAGACCATGACAAACATCCATCTGACACACTCACCTGTCAGCTTGGAAAATGGGCTGCCCATGTGGATCCAGTGGCAGAAACAGCAAAGAAATTTATCAAGACTTAGTCATGAGATCACTAATGACATTTCTAGGTCAGACTGCTTGGTCTGGCCTAGATGTATAAGGATTGGTCTGGATGTGTAAGGATTAACTGTGGGTGCAAGAGTAAAGGATTCAAGGCCATGAGTCACAAATATGCTTAACACAATTTTCTATCCAGGCAAGATAAATCTTGGACACAAACACATGGAACAGTCTTCCATAAAAAGCTAATGGCAGGAAGAGACAGATTTCACCCAACAATAAAAGGGAAGATAATTTTAGGACTCATATTCAGTGTAGTAAGGGATGTTTTTGAAGCAAAACAGAAGCTAAGGCTCACAGAAAAATAAAATAAATACTGCTCTATCCTTAGTCACAGAATTGTAATAAAGCTCTAACAAAGACATTAAAAACCAACAAAACAACCCTCAGGAGGGAAGTCTTCACATGAAACCACAGTTATGACCTAGGTGGTTCTGCATCGCTGGCGGGGGTTGACCCTGGCTGGAGGCCAGGTGTCCAAAAAGGTGCTGCTCTATCACTCCTCAGCTGGGCTGAAGAGAGAAAATACCATGAAAGGCTCATGAGTTAAGGACAGGGAGAGATCACTCACCAATTACCACCAGAGACAAACCAGACTCTACTTGGGGAAATTAACTGACTTTATTACAAATCAAGTCAGAACAGGATAATGACAAATAAAACAAATCCTAAAGAAATACCTTCTCCTCACCCCAGTAAGTTTCTTCCTGGGCTTAACTTTATTCCCAAATCTCTGCCTCCTCCCCTCTACAGCACAGGGAGACAGGGAATGGACATTATGGTCAGTTCATCATATGCTGTTTCTCCTGCTGCTTCCTCCTCAGGGAGAGAAGTCCTTCTTCTGCACCAGCATGAGGTTCCTCCCAAAGGAGAGTTGTCTACATACTTCTCCAGTGTGAGTCCTTCCCACAGGCTACAGTTCTTCACAAACTCCTCCAGTGAGGGTCCCTTCTACAGAGTGCAATCCTTCAGGAACAGTGCTGCAGCATGGGTCCCCATGGGGTCACAAGCCCTACCAGGAAACCTGCTCCAGTGTGGGCTCCTCTCTCCACAGGTGCATGCCAGGAGCCTGCTCCACCCCTTCTCATGGGGTCACAGCCTCCTCTCAGAGATCCACCTACAGTGTTGTGGGGCTCCTCCATGGGCTGCAGGTGGATCTCTGCTCTACCATGAACCTCATGGGCTGCAGGTGGATCTCTGCTCTACCATGAACCTCATGGGCTGCAGAGGGACAGCTGCCTCACCATGGCCTGCACCACAGGCTGCAGGGGAATGGCTAATCCAGTGCTTAGGGCACCTCTTTCTTCTTCTTCACTGTCCTTGGTGTCTATGTACGTTGTTTCTCTCACATGTTCTCATGCTCTGTTCTGCAGCTGCAATTACTTTTCCCCCACTTCTTACCTATGTTACCTGAGAGGTAACAGCCATTGCTGGTGGGCTAAACCCTGGTGAGCCACGGTCCATCCCACACCCAGCTGACACTGGCCCCATTAGACACAGGGTAAAATTCCTGTAGCTTCTCCTACAGAAGAAACCACCCCTACAGCCCTCCTCCCCATCCTGCTACCAAAGTCTTGCCAGGCAAAGACAATATAATTGTAGAACCGGAATAAAGTCTGAAAATTAAGGAAGCAATGAGGAGAGGCAGGCTAAGAAGGAGCAAAAAGAAACTACAAGGTTGCTGTCTTGGGAGCAATCAACAACAGACCAGACAGAACCTTTTCCTGAGCTACCATCCAAGAGCTGATATGATAGTAATTAATCATCAGTGGGGGACACAAACCAGCCATTGGCTACTTATACAGCATGTGTGGTGAACAATTAAAAGCAGATTTGTGTTTCAGAAATTAGAGGAAGCTACTAAAAGAATGGGCACGTTTCATTTCAGCTTTGACGAGAAGGTACAAAGTCACCAAAACTGGACTCAGAAGTTCAAGACAGAAAGCAATATGTGAAAGTGACCACAAAATATTCAAAGAAAAGATTCTAACAGTGAATCCTTCTGGCAGAGGCAGAACACAAAGATTTTTATGCATGCACCCAAAAAAGCATTGCCTTTTTACTTATCATTGACCTGAAACATATTTAACACATGACTAAACTACCAGTATTTCCCGTATCAGGATGGGTTTGCAGCCAGGAACATGAGACTACATAATGAGATAAGAAATGTAACTGGATATGACAGAACATGTATGCTTTCCCTGTATGATTACAGTGGCCCATTTCAGTTCATACCCTGTAACCAGAACATGCTGCAAAACTGTGAGATTGAAAGGGAACCATCATAAGGAAATGGGCTACCCAGTACCATTTAACCATGCTGCAGCCTACTTTCAATTCTAGTCCAAAGGATCCTGGGGAGAATGGGCGCACAGGACTTGGACATGATTACTTGCTCTGGTGAGCTGAATTTGGCCTGCTGGCCAAGGTCTCTTACTGCCTGTTCTAAGGAAAATACAGCATGAGCAACAGAATCAAACGAAGAGACTTCATAAAAAATCCTCAGGGAACAGGCTGACATGACTTTTCGACAAGTAATCTAAGAGATGTACAAGAGCAGGGTGCTAGCAGTTACTGAAAGGGACCATATGCACAACTGCAATTCAGAGGCAAGAGCATATAACTGCAACAGGAGAGCTTTCCTGACCTGAAAAATCACACAAGATTAAAAAAATAATGTTATGAGCATGGCTAAGGAGCACTATAAAAAGACAAAGAAACAGTGCCATCGTGAAGGGATAAAATCAGAACAAGGATGGTAGAGAAGTGAGTTTGTAACTAGTGAAGATAAATGGCAACAAGTAAAAGTTCCATAAATACAATAAAAAGACAAAAGACAGAAGGCAAGGGTTATAGCTTCAGAGGAAAAGGAACGAGTTATAACTCATACTACTGTTAAATGTCTTCTTTATTTCAGCCCTCAGCAGAAAAGTTAACTGTGAATAGGTATTTAAAGAAATTCCTTCTACAGAGACAGTGAGGCAAAGTGGAAAAGGTAAGTTAAGAGTAAAGGATAAAGTTAAAGATAAGATAAAGATTTTCAAGTCAGCAGACACTTATGAAATCAGCCCTTGATGCTTAAAATGCTGACCAAAGTGACATCTTCAGAACTAAAGAGATGACAAGACCAGGCTACCAAATATTGCTTAAAGAAGGGAGGATGACTAAGGAAAACAAAGACTTGTTAGCCTAACTTCAGCTCCTGGATAGGTTTTTCATCAAGTTATTGCACAATCAGCTAGTAAATAAATGGGAAGCAAATGATAAGAAGCAGTTGAGGTGGGCTGTTCAGGAAGAGATTTCAACAAAACCAACCTTCTTTTACAAACTAATTTCAGATATAATAAAATTATAGAAGTGACATAGATTTGACAAGATCACATTAGATTAGCTAAGAGAACATCAAGAGCTATGTCAGCCAGATGGTGACACACGTGAAAAAGTGGTTCTGGAAAAGTAGTAACTACGGGAGGAGAAAACCGCACCACCGCACGCCGGGCCGCGGTATCTGTGACGCCCCGCTCGGGCGGGCACTTACGGGGCTCGGGCTGAGCGCGGGGCTGGCGGGAGGCCGGGCCGGGCCGGTGCCCCGGGGCGGCAGCGCGGCGCGGAGATCCAGCCCGGAGCAGCTCGGCGGGGCCCTGCTCCGGGCCGGCATCTCCAGCTGCAACATCACCGCCCGTGACAGGAGCCGCGGCCCCGCCGCCCGCCGGGCGCAGCCGGGGCAGCGCCGCCAGGCCCGCCCGCCGCGGGGCAGGGCTCGCCGGCCCGCCAGGTACCGGAGCCGCCCGGCCGCGGCTGCCCGAGGTTGGCCCGCTCCGCTCCGCGGGGCGCCGGCACCGCCAGAGCCCGCCCGGAGAGCGGGGCAGCCGCTGCGATGGGCAGCAGGGAGAGCCGCGCCGGCGGCGGCTGCGCCGAGGAGCGCCCGGCAGGGATGGGGCCCGGCCCGCCCGGCCCCGGCGCCGCTCACCTCCGGCCGGCCGCCAGGAGCACCGCGCCGCCGCCGCTCCGCCTCGCACTCGGGCCCGCAGTGCCGGGCGGGCGGGGAGGCGGCGCCGCTCCTGCCGCTGCGACCGCCCCCTGCGGCCGCTCCGCCACCGCGGCCGGGCGGCCCCGGGGCCGTGGGGGCCTCGGTGGGTGCTGAGTTGATCATGAGCGGGCAGGTGCGTGCTTGCGGGTAGGAGGGTCGGTGGTGTCCTGGGATGCGTCGGAAGCCTGTGGCCAGCAGGTGATTTTACCCCTCTGCTCGGCCCTGGTGAGGCCGCATCTGGAGTGCTGAGTCCATTCTGGGCTCATCAGTGCGAGAAAAACTACTGGAGAGGGTCCAAGGGACACAACAAAGATGATGAGGGATCTGGAGCATCTCGCTTATGAGAGACTGTGGGATCTTGGCCTGTTTAGTCTGGAGAAGAGAAGACAGAGGGAGTCTCATCAGTGCATATAAATACCTCAAAGACAGGTGTCAAGAGGGTGGTGCCAGGTGCTTTTCAGTGGTGCCCAGCAACAGGACAAGGAGCGATTGCCATATGCCAAAACTCAAAAACGTCCACCTCAATCAACATCAGGAAAAACTACTTCACATTCCAGAGCACTGGAACTGGCTGCCCAGGGAGGTTGTGGAGCCTAAAGACATTCAAAACCCACCTGGATGCATTCCTATGTAACCTCTCCAGGTTACCCTGCCTTGACAGGTGTTAGTTAGATGATCTCCAGAGATCCCTTCTAACCTTAACAATTCTGTATTTCTGTGTCTCTGTGATCTGTGACACCATGGAGGGTCGGTGTGGGGAAAGAGGGCTGTGGATGGCCCTGCGATGGATGGTCCCTCAGCTTTGGCCACTGTCGCTGACCGGCCACCTTTCCTTATCCTCTCCTGGCAGAATGGTGCTGCTGCAACCAGTGCCAGCTGTAGAGCTGGGGACTTGTACCATCATATGTCACAGAACGGCAGGGTTGGAAGGGACCCTTCAAGGTCACGGAGTCCAACATCCTTGCAATGAGCATGAGCATCTTCCACTAGATCTGGTTGTTCACAGCTCCATCCAGCCTGACTGAATGTTTCCAACAATGAGGCACCTACCACCTCTCTGGGCAACCTGTTCCTACATTTCACCACCTTTCTCATGAAAAATTAATTCTGAGCGGGTGTTGGGTGTCCCTGCAGCCCAGAAGAGCTTCCCAGGTTTGGTTAGTGGGGAGGTCACTATGTGACCCCCATGTGCCCCATGTTTGCTGTGTGCCCAGTATACTCTGTATAGGTGGGAGTAAATCTGAGCCCCAAGATCTGATTTCTATCTTGTTTGACATGGAAATTTCCAGTTGAAGACAAATGGAGCTTTTCACTGAAAAAGCATAGCTTCTGATTTTAACATAAATAAATTCTGCTTTTCATTAAGCTATGCTGTGTATGTAACAAGGTATGATCCTCAATTCTTTGTTTCAAAATGACCAGTCCATATGAAAATGTGTCTCTCATGTTGCAGCAAAACCTGATGAATGCACAGATGATTGAAAAGAAACCATATGATGACACTTAAACACTGAAGGTGACATTTTTCATCTTTTGTGTATGCATGGTGACTTGTTTCTCTAATGTATTAACCGAGGACTTCAGCAAAATTAACCATGCAATCAATACAAACATTTGTTTCCACATATAATCATGATAACCATACTGTAGAATTTGAAAAGATGACTGTGACACTTTTCTGTTGTAGTTCAGAAGCCATTCATTCCCTCCCCAATTATTAAATAAGTAATTTTCTTGTTGTTGAAAAAATATATTTTTAAAGTATTTTTTTATTTGGTAAACAGATGCATGAAAATTATGTTGCTTGATTTTCCAAACTGCATTTTCAGCTCCCAGACATGGAGGACTGAGTTGTTACTCCACAGAAAAAAAAACAAAAAATGTGAATCCATTGACAGACCACTCATGTGAATGATGCTTTCCATGGTGAAAACTGGCATTTCAGCTCTTTAATTTTCTTGTTCTAATATTCTCCTCTGCTATTGATTCAAAAGTCATTATCCCAGGCTTGTTTTTTGGTAGCCAGTACAGCTACAATAGTATGAGCTCAAAAATTTTACTCCAGTCAAAAAATATACCAAAATAAAAGAGCAGAATGCTCTTTCCTGCATTATTTGTGGCTGATGCTACTTTATGTTACTCCTGTCACCAGAAAAGTATTTACATGAAAATGGGCACTTGAGTCATGTGCCTCAAAATGATAATGTATCACACAAAATCAGAGCAGTCACAGTCTTATAATTCTTAATTTATTTGAGTTAAAGCCTTAATAAGAAGACCATAAATTGGAATGTTTGTCATTGCTTTCCTGTGGGATTTTTTTAAACATTATTTCAGCATAAAGTCTTGAACCAAAGACTCCAGCATTTAGGAGAAGGTCATTACATCTGTGTTAATTCTTTTAACAAGCATGGAGCTTTTTTCTTATGCAGGTGTATGACTAGCAGTGCATGGTTTGTTACCTGTTTCTTGAGCAGCTGTTTGGCCCTGTGAGTGCTCTCCAGCTGCATTTTCATGGGAAAGCGTCACAGGTTCTGTCCTGCAGGCTATGTAGGGTGTGCCAGCTCTGACCCTGGTCCTTCATTCCTAACCCACAACCCCATGGATATTATTCAGTGTAATTTCTCACCTACACTGTTAATTTCTTCTCCAGCTGTTTCTCCTCGTGCCACATGCAAACCTATCTGACTTTAGCCTTTAGCACAGAGGTAAATGAGGAAACTCTTGAGATGTAGTCATTTACCAGGCTGTTGAACAGACACCACTAACTTGGTATCTAGCACATTTAAAAAATAAAATCAAGGCAGTTTGATGGATTTAATTTGTTCTTATGTTTTTCTTCTACCTTTTTGAGGTTTTGAAGTTTGAAAATGCTCGTTTGAAATTGGAACTAAATACAGCCTTCCTTCCACTGCTGTGTAACTGATCTGTTCAAACAGGAAAAGCATAGAGGGCCCTATTTTGCATGGAGATTAGCATGAGAGCAAGGCTATATAAAATACCTTTTATATAAATACCTCTCAGCAAAATTGGATCATGTCTCTTTAGTAAGAGGATGCAATTGGATAGTTACAGTTCTCTCAAATTATGTACCAAGATCTATGGTCAATGTAGTTCTCGAGTACCCTGTTAAATGACTATCTTAAACAATCTTAAACCTGGGAAGCTCTTCTTGTTAAAATAGGAGATTATGTTCTCTTAGCAGGTGTTTTTCTTTTTTTAGCAAAGTCTAGGGCAGCATTATTATTTTTTCCTTTAAGGGATAGAGCATAACAAAGGACTTTCCAAATGGCAAATGGGACAGATATACTAGTTCTTCCTCTTGGCAATGGGAAAGCAAAGCCCTGGGGATTTCCTTGTGGCAAGACAGTGAAAACAAACACATAAAGTTTTGCTTCCTATCGGGGCAACAAAACCAAATAGAATAATTTTTGGCATACTATGCTCAACACAGCTAATTTTATAACCTAGCAGAAAAATACAGTGTTTCCCAGCCAGGAACATTTAGACCAACCCATTTTTTCTTATGGCAGCCTGCAATTACTCTAAAAATAAAACTCATACTCTTTACCCAGTCTTTGGAAGGACAAAATGAATCTGAGAGATATGTTATTGTTTACTTGAAAAAAAAAGGGGGGGCTTTGTTGAAATAAATAGATTATTAAAAATACCACCACCTTACTATTAATTAAATGAAGAACAAAAGTGAATGTTAAACACCTCAACTTGTTGGACTTCATCAATTTGTGGTATCCCATTTTCAGTAACTGTCCAGGTATCACTACTTCTCTCAGACCTTGTAGGATCTGAATTTCAGTAATCAAAAAAAAGGAAAGAAGTGCAAACTGAAAAAAATAAAATTATTTAGATATTATTTTGAGAAAGAGAGGAGAAAAGAGAAGAATGTAGTAAAGTAGTAAAGAAAATGGAAAGAAAAAAAAAGAGAGAAAAAAGAGAAAGAGTGAAGGAAAGAGAAGAAATGCCTTTATCAAGCACATTTAATAAACTATAGTTGAGAAATACTGGCAAGTCATGTGAAACAAAATAATATCTTTCTTCCCAAGAGAAATTACAAAATAAGGGTGATTCACCTAAAGTAGAGAACTACTCTTCCCCTCCTTTTTCCCCTACACAAGAAAAAAAATCCAGATTTACACTTCTATTTCTAAGGCAATCCAAGAAGAAAAACAGTGAGGACTTTTTCTGATTTTATGATCTATCTGATTAAATCTATTCACCAAAAAGAAGCTGAAGGAAGGAAGGAAACCTTTCCTAGATTACCCTGACTATGGTTTTCCATAGCTGTTGTGATGTCCAGGTGAGGGGTTTCAGGACCTTTATTCTTGGTTTCATGTGGAGAACAAAGTTATGTGTGACCTTTCCACTTCTCCTTGAAACAACACTTCCTTTGTGGTGTAAGAGAAGGTAATAATTTTTTTTTATTTGTAGCTGCTCATCTTAAAAGGTATCTAAAAAATGAGACAGTAGGTTCTAAAAGTGTGATCTTATGCCTGCAATAATTGTTAGACTCAAAGTCGGGGAAAAATAGATTGTTTTTCTAATGCAAACAATTACATCCAGACCAAAGCTTTCAGTCAGTTGACTTCTTAACCAAGAACAAACATACCCTCCTTCCTAGTGAAGTATGGATATTGCAAAACTGAAAAACTTATTCAAAAGACACTAATATTTGCCTGAATAATAAAGTAGCTGAGGAAAACATAGGCTGAATTGTAGCTTGGCCACCATTTGACAGCCTAAGACTAGTGTGTTTTACTTTTTTAGCTCTTTGATTTCAAATTTTCTTCACAAAGCTGCAGACCACAGGTTTTTCTTGAGAGCAGAAGAGAAGTGAAAATCAAGATCATAGAATGTTTTAGGTTGGAAGGTGTCACAGTGGGTCATCTGGTCCAACCACCCTACCCATGCAGGGTTATCCTAGAGCACATGGCACAGGATTGTGTCCAGGTGGTTCTTGAATATCTCCAGTGAGGTAGACACTGGGTTGTCTCTCTGGACAGTCTGTTCCAGTGCGTGGTCAGCTGCACAGTAAAGAAGTTCTTCCTCATGTTCAGGTGGAACTTTCTGTGCATCAGTTTCTTTCTGTTGCCTCTTGTCCTATAGCTTGGAACC